CACCCCCACCCCCCACCACCACCCCCCCCCCCCACCCACACACCCCCCCCCCCCCCCCCCCCCCCCCCCCCCCCCCCCGGCGGGGGGGGGGGGGGGGGTTGTTTTCTATTTTCTTTCGCTTTTTTTCTTTTCTTTTGGGGGAAATAAAAAAATTAAAAAAAGAGGAAATAATAAATAACGCTATGTCGAGATAATGCTCATCATAGTTTGGTTTAATTCAAGATACCTAAGGTTAAGGCAATGTAACTCACGCTTTATCTTCTCGATCATAAACGGGGTGGTAAGCGTCGGCACGACGATGGTGCACGGCTGGCCGAGGGTCGCGGCGGCGGTCGCGCAGGCCAGGCCCGCGTTGCCGCCCGACGAGCAGTAGAAGTGCACGCTGCGGCCGGGCCGCGCCCGCATGGCCTGGTGCATCATGGTCCCGACGCCGCGGGACTTGAACGAGCCGGAGGGCTGGAGGTTCTCTAGCTTGAGGAAGATGTTGCTGTTTTTTTTTTTTTTTTTTTTATGTTAGTTTCTCATGGTTGAAAAGGTGAGAATGAGGGTGAGGGTGAAAAGGGACTAACCATCCTGCTATCCGCGAGAGAGTTCTGGACCGGATGCATGGTGTCTCTATGAAGAGCTTCTGAAGCTCGGGGTCGCGGGAGACCATTATGATGAGTTGGTGGATGATAATTGCTGGATTACTCTTTGGGGAGCTTTTCTTTTTCTACCTAAGTACCTTGACCACGATGGACTACGTCTTCGAGTCTTTATGTATCTATTCAAGAGAGGGCATCTAGAATAATGTTAGTTATTTTTCTTCTTATTTTCCTTTTTCTCTTTTGGAGTGTAGGTATCTGTTATATCTTAAGAGTATAAAATATCATACTTATATCTACTTACATAAATGGTTGATCTCTCCTAGAATCTATGCAAAACTCTAGCTCAACAAAATTTTCTTGAGTAACCTTTAAGAATAATGAAAAGTTCTTCTAAGCACCGTCTATAAAATCCCTATAAAATATCTAATAGTGCTCCTGTATCGGACGAAGCTATACAGCAACATGACATTAAAGGCGTATGTGTAATAGGTACTTGACCTTGTATGCACGAGTGTACCTAGATAGGTACCTAGGTAGGATGTAGGTATGCCCAATAGAACGTGCGGCCGGGAAGAGATAATGCTGATAAAGCTAAAAGCTAGTGCAATGTTACGGGTGTCTGCTTATTTAAGGCTTCAAACGGAGACCGTTTCGGCTACCTTGAATTACCCGATCGTAGCCGTTACCTTAGGTAAGTTGTTACCTAGTTAGGTACCTAAGGTAATAGTTCTCTATCCTCCGGTTTATAGGTGAATAAGGGGTGCAGATAGGAACGATTGACATTATATTTAGCGGTTGTTGTTTGCTGTTAATAGTATGTTAGTGTGGGAATACGATGTGAGTAGATTGGGGATGATCACGGTAAAATAATATTTTGTTAACATCGAAGCCATACAAACTGGATAAGACCATCTCCCGAGTTGTCTCTTAACTCTTATACATAGAGTTGACTTCTTGAACCTAAGAATTAGCATGGACTGGGCCAAAAAAAAGTTTTTATACTACTTAGGTCAATTCCATTTTATTATTGTCGACCTTTCCCCCATATGCATAAATTGGTAACAGTATCTGCTCAAGATAATACTGGTTAACGTCTTCTCCGTCAAGGCTTGTTGGTTAATCGAGTTTAGTCTTGACAGCTACTGTTGTCATTGGGCATTATTCATTCTTCCATAACCTTCAAAGAGACCGGCTCTATTTTAATGTTCGAAGTATGAGCAACTAAATTTACGTCCGAGAATGACATTATGTCCAACAATCATACCCAAGCATAGTTAGGGCTACACGAAATAACGGCGTGGAGGGGCTGTGCATAGTGGTTACTACTTACTTAAATAGGCGGGAGGCGGGATAAGCCTATGGTAAGATCTTCTAGTTGTAATTCTTAGCTTACAGTATCCCCTTACAGCCTAAGAGATATGTGCCAAGGAGTTGTTCAAAAGTCAAATAGAGTAGGTGATCATAAATTTGATGAGTGTTGTCTGGTTCATATCTGGTTCATATGTACGAAATAGAAGGATTATTAGAAGTTACTATGTACAAACAACGTAACTACGGCTTTTCCATGTGGCGCGTTTCAAAGTTCCAAGTTAGGAATAACCAAACCGGTTTCAATCTTACATAGTAAGAGTACGGGTTACCTGAGTACCTAACATACCTGGTAGTACATAGTACGTAACCGCATCGCTTCGGTACTTCTCCACAAGCCCTAGTTTAAACTTCGTCTTAGCTGTTCTCGATCTGACCAACCATAGTCCAAAGTGCTACCACATTGAACCATGAACACCCCCTGTTCAGACCCCTAAACTATTTGCGTAACCAAAAGGGGGTTATTAATATCTGAGGGAGAGCCTAAAAGCGCAAAACGGGGCTGAGCTGATGTTTGAATTTAGCAGATCGGACTCGAATCCCCCCACTCCTTTAAACCGTACGAAGTACATAGTATTGTACGTATAACTTTCACAATGCAACGCGACCCTTAAAATAATCCATTCTAGGAAGGTATCGGACTCAAATCTAAACTATCCATGACGATCTATTCGAAGCGCCGCAAGTACATGGAAGGAGAGAAAAAAAAAGGTGTGCCCCGAATATGTATTTTCTCCTCATCTCTCAACGTCTACGCTAAGATATAGTACCTATGAAGAGAACGAAGGGGGACCAATTGGCTCTTGAACCGATCCCCTTTTTTCTGTTGTTTGCCATAGCAGTGCCAAGGAGATAACACGGACTCAGACCAGGTATGGAGTAGAACAACATAAGATCTTGAATACCGAAATTTCGAACCCGTGCCGCGCTCTAATTACCATGCAGTAAGTATCTTCCAACGATGGATCTAATACGAGAATACACGTAGTCTAGCCTTCAGGCTTCCATGCGTCTTCTACTCTCCCCAGTTTCAGGTGGGCCTTACAACCAGACCGCTATCCTATATTAAGATTACCCGTGTGGTAATGGGACCCCTTTTGGCGTCTCGCCATATAGATAGATACTGCTCCCCAGGTTTCTACAGCGCGCCTACGCCCAATTTCTTCTCGTCTGAGAAAGAGAAGATAACCCCAACTACCCGTCTGATAGAACAGTAATTCCCTGTCGATAGCAAATTCACGACCTCATCCTACCACCATGAAGTTCGGACTGCCTTTCGAGCTCGGCATGCTTGCCTCGAGCATATTCGCCTCCAACACCACCACAGTCTCTCCGTCAATCTACATCCTCGGCACGTCACCGCCCGCGACAAACGCCCTCAGCAAGGCGTTAGACACGCTGGGATACAGCCGTCTAGACCCCGAGTCGGACGCGCTGCTAGACCACCAGACGCTGGCAAACACCTACGTCGAAGTAACGTCGAACATGCAGCTCGCGGAGATCGCCCGGACCCAGCCCAACGCCAAGTTCATCTTGCCGCGAGGCGGCCGGCGGATAGGCGAGGAGGACTACGCGCTCTCGGCCCGGGACTTCTTCGCCGCGGAGAAGCGCTCCCGCAAGTATCTGGAGCTCGACGTGCTCGCGCCCAAGACCAGCTCGCAGGCCGACAACTGGGTCCAGCTCTGCGACTTCTTGGGCATGGGATACAGCGTGGTGGAGCGGTTGGACCTGTGGCACTTCCCTAAATAAACGTCACGGTGTTGGTTTTATTTTACATTAGGTATGCATATACGGAGCACATATACAAGGAGGGGGATAAAGTCCTAGAAAAAATAGATATGCCGCGGAATTGACTATACACGCCACCCTGTCTTGCTCGAGACTCGGGGCTTTTGGTATGAACGTAACGTATCGTAACGTATCAAGTCGCGTGGAAAACAGCGAGGGGGGAAAATGCGGTAAGGAGCATTGGGCAATGGATTAGAAGAAGCGGCGCTCGCCTCGAGGTCGAGACAACTGCGAACTCCACAGCTCCATGCATAGAAAGGGGGAAGAGAGGGGGCGGATAAGGAGCAAACAGCACCCCACTAGCTGGAATTGGGATCTAGCCAGCGTCCAGGCCGTCTCTCATACGTCGAAGAAGCCAGTTCGCCACGGGATGTTCTAAAACTCGAGTTGTGGAAGAGGGTAGTTCTTAGGGCGATAGCGCGCTTGGAGGAATTTAGAGCTTGTTTGGTTGGTATAGAATTAAAAGTACCATAGGTATCTAATAATTCCAAGAAATATATGTTATTTTATACATCATACGCTATTCAGACCTGTGCATTTGGTTGGGTATTTATGAGAAACCTCGAGTTTGCTAATGAGGACATATATACATGCTTATAATTAAAGATGGCAACGATTAAACAATATGAGATGTCTCTCTAGATTAGTCGCTTTGCTTTGCTTGCCATTTTATGACCTGCCTGGTGTATTCCTAACTCGAGATCTGACAACCTATGAATAACGCGTTGACCACCTCGACTCATTTCAATATGAACTTCAATATGAACCTAACTTGACACTGGGCGGATTCCATCCTCTGCTTTTCCTCTGTCATAAAGTACAAATATAGTACACATGCTACGTACTTCTCCCATGCCCTTCCACCCTTTGACATGACTTCCAACTGCTCTGCTTGTAGGGACAGTTACCTCCTAACCACCTGAGGTAAGTGCCTAAAGTAAATGATTAATATATAGGTACCTAACCTAGGTTAGGTAGGTAGATACCCGTGAAAGTCTCCCGTAACCTCGTAGTTAAAAACCTCCTCCCCCCTTCTCCTCCCTCACAGAGCGCGGAAGTTCTGACTAACAATAACCCACCTCCTCAGCCCGCGGGGCGCATTCCGAGCCCAAGCCTCCCAATGCGGGACGAGCAGAAACGCCTCGTTGAACGGCTTCTCGAGCGGCGCGTCGTCGTCGCCGTTTCCTCCCGCGCCCGCCGTCGCATCGTCTCGGCGACCCCTCCCGTACCGCACGACCCCGCTGACCTGCACCGCGAAACTTAGTCTGTCCCCGCTCTTCACCGCGGCGCCGGCGTCTGTTTCCGGCTCCCCGATGCGGAAGACCGGGTTGACGGGGTGCGCGTCGAAGGACGCCACGTCGTAGTTTACGTGCGCCGAACCACTGCTACCACTACCGCCAGCACCAGCGCCTCCGCCTCCGGCTTGCGTGTCTAGCAGCGACTCGTAAGCGGACACGGAAGGGAGCACCAGCCCGTTGATGCTGATGTCCGGGACGACGCCGGCGGCGGTGAGGCGCGGGGACGCGGAGGCGTAGAAGGGGGCTAGCGGGCGCCGCTTGTTGAGGGTTTCGTAGAAGTGGTCTACGAAGGATTGGGCGGCTGGGGAGGTGTCAGCGTGTGTATATACCTAATATATATATGTGAAGGCTTGGGGGGGGGGGTGAGGTAAGGTAAGGTGAGGGGGTAAGGGTATAAAGAAATGAAGAAGAGGTAAGAGGTTACCTTCGCTAGCAACTTTGGCCTGAGTCTCTGGGGTTGGCAGTGCCATTTTAAAAGGTGCTTGGAAAGTATTTTTAAGCCCTAGGCTTTATACCCGTGTGCTTGCGATCCTTTTGCGCTCTTACCCGGCGATGAGCTGAGCTAAGGTGGTGGTGAATTGAAATGAACCGTTTGAATCGGATAAGTTTTTTGAGGGTTTTCATAAAACGGCGGGAAGAAAAACTTGTTTAAGGCTCGATCAACCGGTGCTATATAATGAGATGCAACCAGTTTATCTTTGAAATTGGAAAGTAGGTACCCAAGGTAATTGGTTGGAGTTGTAGATATGCAAGTTATCAAAAGTTCAATTATGAGTATTGTACAAGACTGATGAGTGAGTGAATGACCTAATGAATCAAAAGGTTGAGTTGAGATGTCGTCCCGTCCAGTTTTGCCACACTGTGGAACTTATTCCCCTTGCCGCTGCAGCGTCCGCTAAATGTAACTAGCGGTACAGTTTGGTTTACGCATTTATACACGGTATACGGTACGTATCTTTTCAACGGAAATACTTCATCATATAATCCTCAACTTTCTATTTTCTATTTTTCAATATATATTCAAAGCACCTCAATTACCTATTTACTTATTCAAACCTAATCCAATACTTCCTGCCTCACCTGCCTACCTAAGTAATACCCAACCCATTTCCATCCGTATTTCCCCTCGAGCAAATCCCCACCTCCTCCATCGGCCAAGCCAACAAGTGTCTATGCTCCGCGGGCAGCAGCTCCCCGATCTTCATCAGCAGCGGCTCCGCCCTCCCCCTGAGCCACCACCTCTCCTCCGCCCGGTGCAGCAGCACGCACCAGTACGCCATGACGACCAGCGCCGCCGGCCGCCGCGCCGCGAGGTCCTCCCCGACCCGCCGCCGGTTCACGAACGGCGGGAACCGCAGCGCCGCGTTCTTGCGGTCCAGCGCCGTGTCCGCATGGTCCGACAGGTAGAAGCTCACCCGCAGCTTGTACATCACCTGCTCGTACTCCGCCCTGTGCTGCTCCTCCGCGACCGGCAGTTGCTCCCCGAGACGCACGAGCCTCGCGTCCGTGGGGCCGTCGGCGGCTAGGGCTTCCGCGGGCTTGGGAGGGGATAGGTCGCCTAGCAGAGCCCGCAGGGGCGAGCGCATGATGCTGGGGGCGTGCTCCATGGTGACCGCCGCGGTGCCGTGGATCAGCACCAGCCATTCGGCCAGGTCTGACCCGGAGTCCTCGTTGAAGAGGAGCGACGCGGCGTCCTTGGCGGCGGCGAAGTGGTACGGTATCAGCAGGCAGGAGCAGGCGAACAGCGGGGCCGCCGTCTCGGCCGAGCTGTTGGCCAGTGCCTCGCGGAACAAGGGGATCGCCCTGGCCTGGTGCTCGGCCGCGATGCGCTCGAGAAGGTTCGCCTGCTCCGGATTCGCGGAGCGCACGTGCAGCGCCGCGACGGCGAGGAGCTCGTGGAGGAGGTAAGGGTACCGCGTCGCGAGGTCGGGGATAGTCTCCCGCCAGACGGCGATGGACGCCCTGTCGTCGGCCTGCGCGATGGACGCGGCCTTGACGAAGTGCTGGAACAGGGCGAAGTCGGTGAACGAGAAGGACGGCTCCTCGTACGGCCGGACCACCACCCCCACCACCCCTATGCCTTCCGGCGTGTCCGTATCCGTGCCCGACCTACACGCGTTCCCGGGCAGCGACGCCGGCACCAAGCTGCACGGGAGCTGTCTCCTGGCGCAGTACGAGCACGGCTGCTTCTCGTCGCATTTCACTTTCTTCGCTTTGCAGGTGGCACATCCGGCCCGGCTCTTGTGGTGAAATCTTCGGGAAGTTGACGCCATTTTCGGGGGTAAGATTTATTATCACTGGCGCATTTTTTTTCTTCTTTTTTCTTCAAATATTTCCTGCCGATTATTAAAGTATTGAAAGACAACTAATTGGAAGATGGCCATGATGTTAGGTAGGTACCTACCTAAGAGATATCATGCAACTGATATCCCGTAGGTTCACTATAAGCTTCGCCCCCTTTTTTCTGACAGCTCGGCAGCTCGGATACTACCTTACCTTAACGTTAGGTTAGGATACGGTTGAGCATAGCGAGGACTCGGAAAATGACGTAAAATTGATAGGGCTACCCTTGAAAATAGTGGGGTATATTTAGATTACAGGGGTATTTAACACTGTTTTAATGAATGTTTGTGTTTAAAATAATTTAATATGCACTAAGAAAGAGAATTTCGGAAGGGTTTCTTATAAGCATGTAAGGATTAAAAGGTAAGCCATGTGTAAATTAAAAAAGGTTGTACAATATTGGACTTACTAATAACAACTAGCTCCCCTGTAATTACAGTGGTAAGCTACCTATATTTTAGCGTATGAGCTACTATCTGCCCTGTAATTAGTGGCACGCTAATACAGTGCTAGTATCCTCGTAAACTTGGAACTAGAGGCTTGGTAATTATCCACCCACCTTACCAGCCTTTTGAAAAAACGTGCGCTTAATTGAATGCGCATATCGATAGCGCTTGTAATATTCTACCTAAGTAGGAACCTACCTAAGTAAGTAGGTAGTTAAATCAACCTAATTTGATTTCAGAGGTTGAGGTTATTAACAAATATTACCTACCTTTTAGCAAGTAAATTGGTGGGCTGGTAGGCGGTTAAATGCTGTACGTACCTAACCTAAGTACGTACGTAAAATTAAACCAATAGGAGGGCGCGCATCTTGGAGGCTAAAAAAAAAAACGTTTTTCATGCATAATATACTATAAATCCATATTTTGGCTGATCCTTTCGCTTTATTAGCCGAGGGGTGTGTGTATTGACGTTTTCGGCCATTTTCCGAGTCCTCGCTATGCTCAACCGTATTAGGAGGTACCTTTGAGCACTTAAGTGGAGCAACCGTAAGGCTTAGACATACCTGTATCTCCATTCTATCCGCCTATGGGATTGCTAGCCCAGCCGCTCAGCCGCCCAGCAGCCCGTACCATCGACGGAAAGTTTATTTCATACAGATTTTCTTTACGGGAAAATATCCGTTTCCTCACCTCCTTACTACCTAAGCCATAATAACACTTTGCCTCTTAACGATTAGTACCTAATATTCCTATTACATATACGTGGTAGTTAGGTAGTCGATGGTAAATCAGATTTATATCCGACTTACAAGGCCAAAAAAATAACAAAAAGGGGACACAAACCCCTAAACCTATATGGACTCCAATGGAATAAAAGTCGAGTTATATATATTAGGTACCTATATATATATAATACCAATTACCCATGACCTCCACTCTATCACCAGTCTTTAAATACTTTTTTGTAAAAACAACGTCCTCTAATCGTACCTAAGATTTAAATGCATCGCAACGACCCTTCTTAAGCAGATAAATATACCTTAGGTTGGGTAATTCTACGATAAATCTACCTAACCCGCTATAAGGAGGATATCAACCTCGACTCCTGCTCTTCTTTTCTCTTCTTCACCCCACCCGCTCCCAATCTTCTTCGCTAGACCCCATCACATGTTCCAGCGATATAGTCTGAGGCAGACTAACCATGCCTTTCCCAGGGCTTAGTCCTAATTCGCCTTCAGCAACTTCCGTCTATACTCCCAGTACCCGCGACGGATCCGATCCCACTTATCCCCCAGCCGCCTCAGCACCAGGTCCGCTCTATCCAGCTCCCCGGCCTCCTCGTATATACCCGCCAGCAGGTCCAGGGCGTGCGAGCTCCGCACCTCTTCCCCTTCCGCGTCGCCCACATTCTTCGCAAACTGTTCCGCAAACTCTCTTACGGACCCTAGTTTCCGCCCTCCCTTGACCAGCACGCCTCGGAGGTAGTTCCAGGGGCTCTGGTTCTGCGGCGCGAGCAGGATCTTCTGCTCCGCGTAGCCGATCTCGCGGTCGACGATAGCATCCGGGATCTTCGGGTCGTGCTCCGTGGCGTGCGAGTTGGGCGTCGCGTACGATGGGTCTGAGAACACGAGGAAGAAGCGGTGCGACCAGGCCGAGTTATTCCGCACGTCCTCGTGGATCATGGTCTCTATGCTCTGCCGCTCGGCGTCGTTCCACGTCCCCAGCTTGCGCACTATATACTGCCGATAGCTCCACACGTGGTAGTTCTTCGTATCCAGCTGAAGCATCTGCTCCAGGAAGTGCCGCTCGCTTTCGGCCAGCGCGCTTACTTCCGAAGGTACCGTCACTATGGCCGGGTAGTAGTGTTCTATAAGTTGTTGGCGATGGTTCCAGATCTGGTAGTTCTTGATGTGTGCAAGCGAGATTTCGTTGAGCCATTCGATCTCGTCTGGGATGGATATGTTGAGGGCTTGCACGATGGAGAATCGGTAGAGCCAGACGGTATAGTGTGCCGGATTTAGGGATATGATGCGCTCGGTCAGTCTAAGACAACGCGGCGAATATTCTTTGGCTGCCATAACGGCGCGGAGGTACGACATAGCTACGTAACTGTCAGTATATATAGATATAGAATCCAGATAAACTCCTCGCAAAACAGCGCCTGTATGAACGTACATTCGGCATATTCATCCGGATACGCAATAGTTGCAAGCGCTCCTTCGGGCTCGATCTGGGGTATCGGTACGACGTCATCCCAATCTGGATCCAGCTCGTACGGATCCATCTTGGTGCCGTATAAGTCCTGCTGTAGTTGCGACATTTCTTCCCGCCTAGCCCTTTCAGCCTCCACGTCCTCCTCGGTGTACGTGTATGTATTCTCGAGATTCGGGTTGTTTTTGTTGGCCTTCGCGCGCCTGACCTTGAAAGCCGAGCTGTCGTCTAGCAGCAATAAAAGCTTAGCCTTCTTCGCCTCTCTAGCTTCATATTCCTCAACGGTATAGTCGCCGATGTCACGACCGTACTTGTCGCGGCCCCACTGGTGATCGCGCGGCCGGGGTAAGTTACGCAAGGGAACGTTGGCCTCGTTCAACTGCTTCCACAGTTCCTTTTGGGCTTTGTTGGAGAGGGTCTTGGCGACGCCCGGTTTTAGATATTCTTGGTTCAGGTAAGCTTGTCGATCAACTGGGGTCATGCCATGGAGACCGAGCTGTTCCAAGGACTTTTGGTAAGGGTTCGTCTCGTAGTACCACTGCCACTCGAGCTCTCTGATGGTCTGCGGTTTTGTCGGAGCTTCTTGCTTTGCTGCTAACCCAATCTACTAATTAGTAAACATCCCAACGCATACGGATGAAGGGGTGAAGGGATGAAGGTAGAATAATGTACGTTCGGGCGCTTTGGCTTTAGCGCCTCCTTTGTTCTTTGGAGGCATGGTTGCGATATGTTGTGTGTGGATGGTGGGGGTTTACATACATGTAAATACCTTAATTGGGTCTTGGGGGGGTTAAAATGAAAGTTGATGATAACAAAATTCCACTAGTTACCTTGCATATGAAATCGGGATGGAGGGGCAAGTACAGCCACTACCCTTTCCGAGGCACTATAAAGGCAACTATAAAGGTCACTACATAGGCCACCGTATAGGCCACTATACAATGCACAATCTTAAAAGTCAGGAGCGTTTGGCCACTGACCCATTGATTATTAGCTATTACCTCCTACCTTAGGTGCCTAAGGTACCTAGGTTAAGTAGTTCTTCTTAGCATTTAAACTTTAAAATTAGGTACCTTATTGCTCTAATAAATCCTCCTCTAGATTCCATTCCTGCACTCTTCCATTTTCCATATATAAATAAACCGTGACTGAGCCAGTCATTTCCCTTTCATCGATTGCTTTTCTATCGATGCTTCTATATAAATATTATAGTAGGTACTGCATTGCCCCCCTATGATCCATAGAAGCAACTACTTCAAAGACAATCTCCATCATCTCGTCGTCTTATCATTATTGACTCTCGACCCTCCAGAATTTCCAGCCTTCCCTCTCAGCTCCGTCTAAGCCACCAGATACACCCACTAACTTCTCCACGCCGTCGTTGCCCGGCGCATTTAGGAAACCTTCGAGATCAATCTCCATACCCCCCTCCTCGTCTTCGTCCAGGCCGTTCTTCAACACCGCCGGCCATAGAACGCCCACACCGTCGCCGCCAAGCGTCGTCCTGAATGTTTGGTACCCTTCCATATCTAGCCTGCGCTCCAGCTTGTCCAGCTTTTCTTGAGAAATGCCAGGCTTCATTAAAGATATCGAACAGCCACCACCGCCCGCACCGGTAAGCTTCGACCACCCGTACCCTTCGTGGTCGACTAGTTCTCGTATCCGTTCGAGGCGAGGATGCGAAACCCCCAATGCTGATAATAAGCCGTGGTTGATTGTCATCAGTTCTCCTACCCGTCGTAGGGATTCTGTGTCCTCGTTGTCAAAGTATTCCTCTTCGATTAGACTTTCTGCGCTTCTCGTAACCTTGTCTATCGCATCCATAATTGATCCTACCAATTCCTGATGTGTATTCCTCAACTTGGCAACTTTTGATACTTCGACGGCTGTAGACTTGGGTGTTCTAGTGTTCACCAAGAGTAATGGCAATTCGGGGAAGTCCCATAGAGGCGTCACCGTCGGCGGTTTCTTGTAGTCCGTCCTCTGGTACACCACCGCCTTGCCGTGCGTAGAAACTGTGTTGTCGACGCCAGAAGGGTTACCGTGTATGCACATCTCGGCCACGAAAGCCCATCTGTTGATCCTTTCCACTTGTAAACGAGCCTCCTCCGGGGGTTGGTCAGGATGCGGGCCCGAGAGTGAGCGAATCTGTAGAAGCATAGCAGCAGCCAAACAGACGCCAATGGATGCACTGCTTCCGACACCGGCACCAATCGGTATTGTCGAGCGGAGGGTGTACCTGCAACCCGGGGACTTGGGTGAACCCAATGAGAGGAATAGATATAGAAAGGAGGCGGCGGAGTTTTGGTGTATCTTTCGTTCGGCTTCGGACTTGCCTAAAGAGATGTCTGCAAGGTGCGGTTGTATGGCTATTACGAGGTCGGGGTCGAGAGATGTGACAAGATCGTAGTAGTACTTTTTCTTAGAAGGTTGCTGAAATACGTCCCATGGTAGTTCGTCGATATTCCACGTATGTATAAGGTCGATGTCGGGAAATTGCATGGTTACGGTGCGTTTCGATTTGGAGAGATGGGTTACTAGGAGATAGGAGCGAAGCGAGACGGAGGCAGCAATGGCAGCCTATATAGAGATACGGTGAACTTGGTGCGCAAAAGAAATAGTAGGTAAACTACTAGAGAAGCAATTCATATCATACCTTGCCATAGACTACGGCATGTTCGCCAAAGACGATGACCTTGCCTGGGGCCGAGACCATAAAGGAGGGCATCATTGGGCTAGACAGCTTACGGCTCACCCTCTTTTTCTTCTTCGCGTCCTCCTCTGATGCGGATCGCCCATTCGTGCTATTTGTGCCATTCGTACCATTCGTACCACTCCCATTGCCGTTTATATGGAGGTTATCCATTTCCTTATGGAAGCCATTGACGCCGTTGGACATTTCCGAAGATGCGCTGTCAGGGGTAATCGGGGTGAAAGTCATTTATGAAATCGTCCGGACAGAAATAGACCTTTTTAAAGATTCCCTCAAGCTCCCACACTATACGACTATTCCTTGCAACAACAGATGTGCTTGTGGTACGATAGCTTGCTCCCAAAAGGAGACAGGACCCCACGTACTATGCAGCAATCAAATTTATTAGGTCAGATACCAAGGTAGGAGGTGTAGGTAGTGACAAGTGGCGTAGGGGGGAAAAAAGAGTATATTAAGCGACACCGGAATGCAAGCGTATAAATTTTGAACGGAGCGGGAAAAGGGAAAAGGGAAAAGATTGATTAGGTTCGAGTTGGTGCGATATAAGGATGAGAAGATATCGATTATTAAATAAATAAAAGAAAAAAAAAGGTGTTGTATTAGTCGTAATTTCGGTAAGGCTCTTCCCAGTTACGTTTGGTTATGTCGCATTTACGTTGCTTATTGCTGTTCCTTATGCTAGGGGCTTATCGTAAGTAAATGCGATCACGTCTTTTTATTTTATTTTATGTTTTTTTTCTCCTTCTCAGTTAACCAAATAGGTTGAGAGTCGATATGATTGATTAACAGAGTCGAACAGAGGCTGCAGTCGTTAGTAAGAACCGGTGTAAAAAAGATTATATATACCTATAAGGTAAAATAAAATATCACACGATGTTGGACATCAACGTGGTGGTGGATAAGGTGAACACCTAAGGTAAGCGAATAGGCGCAAAGCTGCTGCAAAGCTGGCAGCAAGGGGGGGGGGGGGGGATGGGGGAAATTTGGGAAAATTTCCCACCCCTTTTGTTGATTAGCGAACGTACAAAGTCAAAGCAAGTTAGTCAAAGCAGTTAGAAAGCTCCACCATCCCACGTCCCAATTCGACCTCCAGATTTCTCGATCAAAGCCGGCCAGCCGGTCAAGACCGTCATGGAACTTTTAGGTAGCTCAAGTAGAACAAGCAGATAGTGAAGTATCTGCGTACCTGAGCGCGCCTGACCAGGGTTGTCGATAAAACCCAGGCGCCGCTGCAATGGAAATCAGTGGGAACCACGACTTGCAAAGACGTAACCCTTTCGAGCACGACCAGTCACAGCTAGCCAATTAAAACACAATGAGAGGAATTGGCTGCTCAGTCTCAGACTTGGCAAAGGTTCCCCCAGAGGAAATAAATCCCTGCTTAGCCACGCTTTCCCACTCGGACTTTGCCTAACAAAGGTATCTCCAAATTAAGTGGAAGCGAAGCTTCGATGAATTGCAGGTGCAGTGAACAAGAAGACAGGGTTTTTGATAAAGTACAGACTACCTAGGTACCTAAGTATACATGCTCGCAGCTTAGAGTTTGCAAGATTAGGTAGGTAAGGTACCTATCTCATCTTCATTCAGGTAATCACCTTACTTAAAATGTACCTCTCCATTTTCGATAAAGCTAAAGCACCCGCTGTTGCAGCTTCGATGTCATGGTGTGACATCCTCATCAGATAACAATTATATATACCTCAGGTACTACCAAATGTAATAGTCCCAACGAGATAACACCAACAAGCCAATCGGGCTTAACACCTTTTCATATAGTGTCCTGCAAAAGAAAGACAAACCATGTCATACAATTGCAACACCAGTCGAATCGAAACCGACATCGGAATCGGAGTTCAACCCGTCCGCAGCCTCAGTCGTCGTCGTCGAGAGAGGGACTGCTTGATTCTTCAATAGTCCGTGGTTGCGACGGTTGCGATGGTTGCGATTTGGCGACGGAGATACCCTCCGACATGACTATGGGCGGGAGCGCCCTCGTTGAGATGGTAATCCCCGTCAGCGAATCGGGGTGCCACTTAAGCGGCCCTGCTTTCTGGATGATCTGCGCCAAGGCGTCTTTCCTGATCGTTTCCAGCATCTTGTTCATCAGATCTCGCTGTGCGTTGTAACCGGGGTCTTTCGACCCGTGAGTCAACTCCGGTACTCCCCAGTTCAGATATATCTTCTGATGCGACTCGGGCTCCACGGGTCTGGCTTTATGGTGTCGAAAGTAGAGATTGCAGCAATAGCACGCCGGCTTGCTACATCCGATATAGGAATCGTTGCCAACGTACCGGAGTTGATTTTTATAGAAATGCTCCAAAATCTGTATTTCGGCATGGATACGTGGCTGGAAGTTCTTATTGTCGTACTCGTCCCGGACTCGCTTTGTAATTTGAAACTTGCGATCCAGAGACGCTAGAGCTTCCGTATAATCATTCAGCTCTGGGTCCTCGGCCGGCAACATCCGCTTCAAGATACCGTCCAGCCCGGTAAGAGAGTCGGCCTGAGGTCGTGGATTACTTGGTGGCGATCTAACCAAGCATACTTCGTGCGGGTCGAATAGGTGGTCTAACTCAAGAGAGTCTTCGATAACTTCCTTCGGTGCTCGCACATGGTGAGCCAACCGCCCCAACCAATGGTGTACTACGCCGAAGGGTGAAACATATTTGTCGAAACTGGCGTCTTGGTTATTAGAGGAAGTTATATTCTCTAGCGAACGCATCTCGGGCGCTTTTCGCTGGTCATAAGCTTTGAAGCAGATATCGGTCGTAGACTCTGCTGTGCCCAATATGAACTGTTCTAGCCATGTTGCTAACTCGGAATCTGTAACGCTCGATGTAAGTACAGCACGAATTGTATAACTTAATAATTATAACTAACCCGCGACGTAATCAGTGCGTTTCTGACAGTCTCTTATCGCCCTCGATAGTAGTTTGACCTCCTTCTTCACTCTATGCCCAGCAAACTCTATACATGTACGGGTGAATTCAACCTCGAGAGGCCCCCTTTGTTCTTCTTCAAGCGCAATGATAACGCGTATCGTTGCCAGGGACGACTTCAGAAACTCCACGTTCTTCTTGCCAGCGCGAGGTGTATTTGAAGCGACCCAGAAGACGTGGCATTGGTCGTTATCCTCGAGTGCAACGGATGAAGTCTCATCGCCACCTTTGTCGTGATCGCAAAGGTAAGCGAGGTTCCGAAGCAGCCTTCTTCTACGTCTGGATTGGCCCTCGCCGTCCTGAGGGGTCGATGTATGCGTTCCCCTCGTCTGCCCGAGGACTCTCGATAAGATCAGGGGTTCGTAGAATCGATGGAGTAATCTTGAGTAAGGGTCCATCCGAGGTACCCTTCCTGACGTCTTTGCAGAGCCCATTATTGCTGATTCTCTGATGAAAACGCCATATTGCTGGAAAACTAGGAGCCGGCGATGATGAATATAAGTCGAGGCTACCTCATGGGCCTCTTGGGCCTCAAGTAGAAAACATTACCCCGCCCGTGAGGACATTTCGTTGTGCGACCATACGCGCATTTCGAGTCAACGGGTATAGGCAGCGACCATAGCACCAACCGGCTTCCAGTATCCAGCTTCTATTCAATCATTAGATATATAAGGCCGATATTATACACGTTCCCTTCCAATCACTCAAAGTGACTCATTTCAGATCGGGAAGAGCTGCACGATACGGCCTCAGAATCGAGGGGAAGTTACACGGGAAGGTAGGCTGCGGTTGGAGTTATCATAATATCTGACGTATCATTATATATCATTATAAAAGGTTTGACGGGATTGGGAAAATAGACGAGTCTGTCACAACAGCTAAGGATAGGTAGGTAGGTACAAATTCTTTCATGTTGTAGGTACGCATGATAGGATATTTTTAGAATACGGGTTGTAATTTGTGAGAGCCAATATCAGTCCTATTCCGCAACTAGCTTTCTTTATTGATATGTACCTAACCTAATATCCACTCCTTTTCAACTCTAGATAGATTCCTAGATTCCCTATAATTTACCTAAGATATACATGTAATAAGCGATCGGGTCGATAATGACCTCCAGCCTAAATGATAGAATTCTTACCTACTACGTCGTTCGTCTATCGTAAATGTCGTTTCTGAATATTGAAGTTCATTATATGCTGGGTATCAAATAATATCAAATTGATTCCATAAGAGATGTCGAACACGAGTCGCCGCGTTTTGATATGTCAGGCCAAACTTACTCTCAGACACAAACCGCCGAGTCGGAAGGAATGTGTTGTTGATGGCACAATTGCACCAAAAGAAATTGTGAGTTGGCCACCCAGGGAATCGAACCCTGAGGCCTAGCGATATTCCATAAGGATAATGTTAAGGATGATGCGCTAGTAGAGAAGGTTTTTTTTAGGTATGGCGGAGGAAAGCAACGCTGAGAGTAGAATATTTCGCTAGACCGTACCAACTCGGCCATATTTTTTTCTTCTGGTAATAACCCTCTATGCTCGTTTGGCTTATAAGGACTTGTTCGGGTTGGGAATGGGGGGATGGATTGGAAGCTTGCGCGGACGTGGTTGGGTAAAAGTATATTCGGCGCCCGGGCCGGGTGGTGGTCAGGTTAGGTAGTAAGTCAATTCTGCTCGAGCGTCACGGCTCGGGAGGTTTAGGTAGGGCGGAAGCTTATTCGGAGCGGGCATTCTGTCATTGAAACTTATTGAAAGTATATTAAATGGCATATATCCTAGGTTGGGAAATAAGGTTAAGGATATGGTGTTGTATTATATAAGAGGCACGCGTCGCCCTCGAGGGAGAGTAGAAAGGCAAGCGTTAATAGATTACGTCGACTAAGTCCTGTTCCAGTACTCGCTCTACGTATGACATCGCGGGTTTCCTTTGGAATCGATCTGCAGAACCCTAATATCCAAAGCAGGTATCGGATTCTCCATGCTGGATGACGTTGCTGTTAAGGAACGGAATGGGATGAGGTATGCAAGAATCTAGCCATCTTCCCACCAGATATTTGGCGTTGCACGTTTCCTCGGTCTCTTCATGATATCTCTTCTCTATCTTAGGTACATACCCCTTTTTCATATTTCCTTTTCCATACCTGTAAGGGTTTACTATAGTTGACCTAGAAGTATGGTTATTCTCCCTTTGAAGTTCCCACCAAAAACGGCTATTCTGCTACTTTGTCACTCTGCGATATCTTTGCGAACAAAACTTGAAAAATAAAAAAGATAGTTTCATTTCATAGAGAATTGATCCGATCTTATCTTTCATATAGCAAGTCTATTGTATATATAATGTTTCAAAGGCTATCGCAGGTGAAAGTGAATCTTCATACAAGCAAAAAATCGATTTTTAAGGGGAACCCCTCAAAAGGTTAACAATTGTAAATTTAAACCCCGATAACTTCTTTATTGATAATCCCGGACAATGGATCTTGATATTAAAGATTAAAACTAATTAATTCTATATAGGATAAAGTTAGAAGTTCAATTCGATAAGCTTTATTTTCGGAGATATTACAGAGTGACAAGGCTATGTTTTGGTGGGAATTTCGAAGTGGCCCAGATCGACTTGACTCTTGACGGCACCTCCTAATTGTTATAAAACATCTTGGTTAGAGAACCCTAGCATCATGGTAATATTCTATCGTGCACGTTAATAGTACGGCATCAGAAAATTAATAGGTATTGGTGCAGCGACTTTGATATTCCTCCATCTCTCTTTTCTACCCTAGCCTAACGCTACCTATATCAAAGCAGTTCCAGAAGCAACACCTAGCAACAAGAAATCGCATAGTATTTAACAGTAGCAGCGAGCTGTCATATAATTATAAAGGTACCAAGTCGAGGCGTCTTCTAATAAGTAACTCCATTGACTTCCGAGCTTTGTAAGTGGTGGTTACGGCAAGGCGGATTATCGCAAGAATAAGTTTGGAAGCAAACTGAAGATTCGCGCGGCGGATAGAGAGCTCGCAGAGTAAAAGCTACCTACCTTGCCCTGAATGTATCCAAGATTTACATACATAACCTCCCTTCCTTCATCGACTCGCGTGGCGACACGTCTATCCTTACCTACCGAGGCTGTCATTGCCAACAAACATGGCCTATAAATACCTATTGAAAAAATCACAAAGTGAGGATCAATACCACTCCTCGATTTCGTATACACAGCCTGCTAGCGCCTTGGAGGCCGCTCGTGTAGGTAGATCGGCCGTGTTGCTTGTAGCCGGAGCGGTACCATTGCGGTGTGTCATTCAGCCACTTCACATGACCCAGGGGTGAGACCTCCACGACGACATGGGTTCGTAGCCGTTTCAGTCGCTTTTCCCAATGAAAATTTCGCTACCCAGCAGATCGCCGTCGTGACCTTTCCCCCCGCATTTGGAAGGACGAATTACTTCGAAGGTATTATTTGGCGTGCGGTCACACATATGAATTTTTTTTTTTCGGTAATGACTCGTGGTAGAACCCAACCTTATGACAACGTCGAGGTTCTTTATGGGGTGGACAATTACCTAATGTTATTGCTGCTCTGGCGCCTGATTCGGCCTCACGCTTGTTGACTTTGTTGGTAAATGTTCCAGAAGGATACTTTCTTGTCTTTGTCGACGAGGATTCCGTGTTGGTTTCTTTTTCATGGCTATGCTAGTCAAATAACAGCTGCATACGAGGTATGAGAGTGAGTGATCATGCTACTTATTCGAGAGTTGTCAAAAAAGAATAGTTGGTTTATTTTACGATGGATAAGTCCACGGATGTAACTTCGACCGAGATCTTAGCATTCTAGTAACAAGATGAAAGCTGTTGGCATGAGAGTGGATATATGTAAGGTACCTAACATAGTATGTGGCAGCGGCGCAGCGTGTTGTTGCCTTCAGCACTTTCTACGGCTCCAACAGGCTAGGTCGTCATAATACCAGCCCAGTCTAAACAGCCATGATCTAATTGAAAACCCAAAGCTAGGAATACGATGTGACACGACAGGATATTTTCACATGAGAAAATTCCCATTGTTCGCCAAGATAACTAGGTACCTAACTAACATGGAAATGCAAAAGAAACACAAGGATAAAAGAAACCGTTAGTTAATCCTACTTGGGAATCAGAGCCAACAGATGCGAAGAAGCTAACCGCGGAAAAAAGATCATCACTTTTCTTCCTACCTAGGTAGATATTAACTACTTAACCTAGTATTTGTTGCAAAGTAGGTAAACTTACCTAAGATATGCAAAGAATTTTATTTCTGCTGGTCTGCGGCGCGCATATTGCTATTTCTGGTGACTCTAATAAGGAGGCGTTGGGGGGACTGCTCCCGCTTCCTCCCCGTGGTTAGGTTAGGGTTAGAATGGAGCAAGGCGAAGGAGGTTAAAATAAGGAGGGAGGTACCGTGTTGATGAAAGCCGTCGTATCAAAAATGCATACTAGCGTAGCTGCGTAGAAAAATAGGTGAGGGAACCTTGGAAAAAAAAGAAAAAAAAGAGAAAAAAAGTTACATACCTCCTAGGTGCTTACATAGTAAAGTTACACTACGTAGTGGAAAGAAAAGTAGTGATTCCGGGGTAAAACGAGAAAAAAAAAATACAATAACAAAATGATGGCACGTTACACTAGGCCAATAGAGTAAGGTATCTGGCTCTAGCTGCTGTTCCTTCGGTGCGTTTCAAGCAACTCCACCTGCCGGATCGGGATGTCGAAACAAGGCCTATGGGCGGAATCTTGGCGGGGCCCTTGGTTGCCTTTTTAACGCCGGGGGTCGTATACGGGCTGTGGTTGGTCCCGCCGTCTAAAATGCAGGAACATCGAAGACCAGGGTGGTTAGAGAAAGTAGAGGGGGCAAAAAAAAAAAACCTTTAATATGAACAACGCAACTTGCGCATGAAGTTCAGGTTCGTAGCTATTTCGTAAAAGAGAAGGATGTTGCTTGAAGGTGTAACTTGCTAACGTTGTGCAACTTCGGCCAACTCGTCGTTGAGGCTTACACTTTCCCCTCGCCTAATTATATTTGAAATATATTAGGTACCTACGTCCTAAGGTACACATGTATAACAAAACCCACTGGGTTACAGCATTAGTTATGTATAATATATGCTTGAATTACCTTATACAGATATGTATGTATAATATACTATATTGAATATTGTATAACACCTATCGTACAATAACTCAAATATATCCAAGGTACCTAAGGTTAAGTTAGGTACTACATATGCTTAATCTAACCCATTCAAGGGGGAAGAAATGTGGCTTTCTCCAAACATTCGAAAGTCCATGATCTCTGCATTACGCCCTATTGCATTATGTCGTAAATCGTACATCCTACTATGTAAGGTACACCCCTACAAGCCTTGTTTCCCTTCCCATGGCCCCCCCCGGTCGTATCTCACGTCTCACGGCAGGTGAAAGAAAGGGAACATGGGTTAGTTTGAAGTTTCGGGCAATTAGGGCCCCTGTCGCCTTGTCATAAACCCCATCTTCCACCTAATTCTCATCTATTTACGTCCCCCGGCTGCCGATCATCTATACTTATACCGTAAGGTACAATTTACCTACATAGTACACTACCTCATTCGTCACATTATCACATTTATCGTGTAGAGAGATCCCGTAGATCAGCGCCCCATTCTTCTACCGACCTTCTAAGAAAGTCTGCCACCTCCGATCTCAACCTATATAAAACAAACCCGCCCTCCTCGTCCCAACCCAGAAATTGTAATTTTAACCCAAGTATCCATTCAAACCGCATTGCCGAGGGTAGCTTGGAAAGGAAAACAAAAAGGTGCTTCACCCGAATTATAAACCACGCTCGCTTCGACAAATCTTTTCGTTCGCTACAACACCACCTATCTCTATCCTAAGGAGGAATAATACATTAGGTACCCAAACAATAGACAACAGCAGTTACTACTACAACAACAACCACAACCTAACATACCTATATATCTAAAATAATGGCACCTTTACGCCTTCTCGCTCTCCCGGCTCTGGCAGCCGTCGCTGCCGCCATCAACGTAGCAGACTACGTCCCGGCCTGCGGCCCGCCGTGTATCTCCGACGTCGTCGCCAAGCGCACCACCTGCGACGCCAGCGACAACGCCTGCATCTGCGCCAAGGTCTACACCGTCAAGCGTGACGGCGAGATCTGCCTCCGAAGGGGCTGCAACGCCAACGACTATGGTACGTCTTCTCTCTTCTGAAAGAAAAAAAAAGGAAGAGAGAGAAAGAAGGAAGGAAAGAAAGAAATAGTAGAAAAGAGAACTAACCTCCAAATCACAGGTGCTGTTATGAAGGGTATCGACGACTTCTGTGCCGCCGTCTCCGCCAACCCTCAGCCCACCACCACTCCGGAGCCTACCACTACTCCCGAGCAGCCCAAGCCCACTACCAGCTCTGCCCCCGGCTACCCCACGGAGCCGGAGCCCACCACCTCGGAGACCCCTAAGCCCTCTACTTCCGAGCAGCCCAGCTCGACCCAGGGCTACCCAACCGCGTCTCCCTCCAGCTCCACCACCAGCGCGGCAGCCCCCAGCTCCAGCTCCGGCTCCAGCTCCACCGCGGGTTACCCTACCGTGTCTCCTTCGTCTTCCAGCTCGAAGGCCGAGACTCCCTCTTCTTCCACTTCTGCTGCTTCTTCTCCCTCATCCACTTCCAAGACCGGCTACCCCACCGTGTCCACCGGCACCGGCAGCCCTTCCACCCCCGTTCCCCCAGGATCCAGCTCTCCCGCTACCACCGGCCCCCAGGTCCCCACGGGTCCTTCTTCCGTCCCCCAGGGCTACCCCTCCAGCAGCAGCGCCCCCTCGGGCAGCGCGACCGCGACCCCCGTCGCCCCCGGTGCCGGCGCTCACGTCGAGGCTCGCCTCGGCGCCAGCTTCGCTGCTCTCGTCGTCGCCAGCGGAATCATGTACTTTGCTTTCTAAGTTCCTTGTTTTTTTTTTGTTTTTTTTTTCTATTTTAACGAACGAGTTCGCGCTGCGAGCTGTTGTTGGTGCTGGTGTGTTTTTTCCCCTGCATTATGGGAAAGCAAATGCATGCGATTAGCTTATTAATGCCCTGTGGATAGAAAATGGGAAATGGCCTTTTTTTTATATATATATGTACCTAACATATCCATCACAATCGACCATCGGCCTCCTAGTTTGAGGGATGGAAGATTACTTCGCTTCGAAAGATCTGTAGATACCTTTTTTTTTTTTGTGTACATGCGTTTTTGCGTTAGGCATGTGAGTATATATATTTGAATACATCTGCATCGTTCCAGATATAGTCTTCATATTAAAAATATTGGTGAAATTATATGAAATGACAGATGTTCGAAGCACTGCCCCTGAAAGGTACTCGATAAATAAATTGTCTGAGTTAAGAACCAACCCTGTCAGTCATTTATATTGTTCTCCGCCGGCAGTGAGAACGTGTTCGTCAACATGTCGAGTTGGACGTCTAGTCCGAGCCCTGCATTCATTTCCTCTTCCTCTTCATACTCTTTGCTATCTGGCTGGGACTTGCTTTTATGCTCAGAGTCTGCCGTCCTCGATTCAAGCAGGCCAGTGCCTTAATGTGCCCAGAGGTAGACGACCCGTGTTTGGTACCGGGGGCATAGACGGAGGACCTGGGATCTGGACAAACACGACGAGGCCAGGACGGACAGTATTTCTCCACATCGTGCAGAGGATAATTTGGTCATCGAGGTCATGAAGATTGTACGAAACAGGAACAGAAACCCCCATCTCTTGTAAGGTCTGCCGGATGAGCCCATATATACCCTAATGTGTGAACGAGCAAATTAGCTTTTGTTAATTTGCTATTTATACCTCGAAGTAAACGGAAGTAGCCTTACCTCCCACGTCCGACATAGTTCAAATCCAAACTTCAAATGATGGGGACCAGACTTAACATATACAGGATCGACTAGAGGCCCCAGCAAGAAAATGACGAGGATGCAAGATTGTCCGCTCCAGAACTGTTGGTTTATTGCCACGCAAGTTCTTGAGTGGTGGCTCGAATGGTTTGCTTCCGCCGTCACTCTGCCTACGGCCTCCCACTGAGCGGAACTAAGTGACGCATACTGACTCCAAACGTCGTATCCTCTCGACTTGGTGACTCGCCTTAGCTCATCAGTTAGAGCCTCGTGGCTAAAATGAAGCTTGCGGATGATATTAGAATCGCTTTCGAATAAGTACGCCTCAAGCTCTTGGCTCTTCCAGCCGTGGATGGGCTTCTTTCGCCTCCTAAAGAAACTCGACACCCGTAAAAGAGCGCCATGGGCTCTCTTATGGGGAATTTTCCCGATCGTATATTCCCACCATTGACGTGTCTTATTGCGCTATCATGTGAACTCTTTCCCCCCTCATTGACACTCTTTGTTGAATTTGAGGAAGCCACTGACTGGCTAGAACCCGCGTTTTCTGGTGAACTTTGCACATTTATTTGTGCTGGAGAAGCAGTAGAGGCTGCATTAAGCGCATTATGGTCTGTGTCTTGTTTGTGACGCTCTTTTGGCCCTGGATGCTCAGTATTGTCACTGAGCTTCTTGTCTTTGTTTACCGAACTACCGGGTGACTCGACCGGGGCTGCTCGAGTATCCTGGCTGTATCAAATTAGCTCACAAGGCGATATGAAACTGGCAAGCTACCTTACGTTGTGTGGAGACTTTCAGAAGATTTTGGGTTGACCGCCAATGTCTTTGGAGCGTGAGTCGGGGGATGGCTTGGCTAGATGATGCTGTACTTTTTATACCCATTCCACTATCCTTCTCCACACGGGATGGTGAGCGTATTTGATGGGAATTGGGAGCTTCGCGAACACGTTGTTTTTGCTCGAGGCTTGACCTTCGGGACCATGCTTCATCTGCAATACTTGAGGAAGAAGGCCCAGCCAGGGATCTCCTTCTGACTTTTCTCTTCCCCCTTCGCTTCCTTCGTGATGCCATCGTTTCAGCATATGCTTTTCTTTGAGATAAAAGTTTCTCTAGAGCCGCCTGTAAGAGTATTTCTTTCTCATACGCGCTGGGTGATTTGGCCGGAATCCTATGCACGAGATATTAATATTAATAGGTAGGCAGATAGGTAGCTACACCTTATTGAGGGACGATACGAACATCATTTTAGTTCTTGCAAGCTCCATGAGTCGTAGGTGGAAAAGTAAGCTGAGTTTTAACCATCTCAGATCTTCTTGATGTCTTCTGATACGAGGTTGTTGGAAGGGCCATATGAACGTTCGAATCCGACTTGCGATGTTGAAACTGTGTAAGTCCAATGCGTCAAGAGTAACTTTGCCATTCTCACCCTTTTCGACGCCAACGACCTTGGCGATAAGATGGATGATAGCTGTATAAACTTGCTCGCATTGTGATGCCAATCGCTCTACCTATTTCACCCCCGAATCATTCACAATTGCCTTACCACCCTGATCGGGCCTGATGAATTCATGGAGCTGCTCTAGAGCAGATGCTGTTGCACTGACGTCAGAAGCAATATCCCGCAAACTTTCTCGAGCCTCGGATACAGCCTCGATGTATGTCTGTAGCGTTGTCGCAAACTTGAGGCCGAATGCGGCAATGCCCACGATGGAGCCTACTGCTCCCAAGGGGTCCCCCATGTCTTCCTAGCGCCAGTCTCAGGCTTTGCTCTTCATAAGCAGGATGCGAATGAGAACTCTGCGAGAGGAGGGCATGATTGAGTATGAATAAAAAATAATAATAAATATAGGACTCAGCTTGTTGATTTACCGTTCCACGAGTCAACGCCAGTAATGCCGAATGATGAGGAAATATGCATGGCGTTCAATTGGGGTGAGTGGCTGAATACCTAGTACTTATTTTATATTTATTCTACGAATTGAGTGAGGAAAAGTTTCATATGAGCTTGCGAAGTGGGATGTTTGGAACTGTTGAAATACGCGGTTGAAGAAGTACATTAATAGATAATTACCTCCTATTTGGTCCTTCTATTGGATTAAGTAAGATTCTAAATACTGCCAATTGTAACAGTTGACCTTTCTAAGCTATACCTTCTTCAACAGGTATTGCATTAGGCGCCTTCCATTGACGTGCAGCTTCCTAATTGTTAGCATTGTAGGCATATTTAGTGTATTAGGTACCTCATTTCAGTGTTGTGCAAGCCATAGCGTCCATAGGTAGCCGACGGAGTTGTTATCAAACAGTGAGTTGAGTTGAGTTGTCTTCTTGACACTTGAATTCTAATGACACTTACCTATATGAAAATAATGCCATACATTAGTCGGACTTAAAGACACTTAGGTAGTTAAACTCCGCGCCGGAATTAACGTAACGGTCCCGACTCTGGTTCTCGATTCCTAAATGTGCTTAAAAGAGGTAGCCAAGAGAGGCAAGGCAGATGGGAAGGGTATTTAAATGGTCCATGTCTGCGTGTTGCTAACTCATCTCTTTACGAACTCAAATAATAATAATAATAAGCATCTTTGATTAACTAGTCTAGGCAGTCCAAATACTCATCTTATTATCCATTACCTTGGCCCATTATTCATCATGGCAGTCACAGAATTAGCATGGTTTAGAAGTGCTCACGGACCCGTCGGAGACGACCTAAAGGAAGCCGTGAACCAAGCCTTAATCGTCCAGGATGACTGGTGCGCCCGCAACATCTCAACATTACCCAAGGACAGAGAAGCCCGCGGTGTAGGCCTCTTCCGCCAAATCGAGGACCCGTCTGTCGTCGTCTTAACGGCCCATTGGGAATCCGTCGATCAGCATGGGATTTGGCTGTCCTCTCCAGAGAACGTGACCGCTATTTCGTCTGTCCAGCCACATTTCGAACTGATAGCCCTATCCCACGTTGAGAACGCCCAGTTCTTCGACGGATCGGGGCCAGACGGAAACATCTCCTTGTTAAAAAGTCCAATTATTGGTATAACCACCGTGACTGTCCCAGCTGAGAAGCGCAAGGAATTCGAGCAAGCTTGGGCCGAAACGAAGCACCTGTTGGAAGCATATACACCGCTTGTTAAGTACGGATGGCGCATCGAAAAAGAGGACGACGGCTTGGAACAGTTTATACTTTCCGCCCCGTGGCCAAGCGTCGAGAAGCACATGGAATTTGCAACGGGAAAGGACCTCCCCCAATTCGAGAAGGCGATCCTGTCCCTTACGCAGACACAGGAAGTCAAGCATTACGAGAGGATCCTATAAGACATTAGGTATTAAGCATACCACAACACAATAACAAGTTCCCCGTTGCTCTCTTTGGAAAAAAAAATAAATAAATGGTCTTGATCGTGGGATTGTGCGCAATTGTGTTGTGTGAATTGTCTACAAGCGTTATCGTGCTCGAGAAATATCAATTCGGAAGGTATCCTTAGACGCCGCCTTATGAAAATATCAGCCCCAGCTACAAGAGCATATATGCATCACTCCCCCACACATCATTGGTCCTTGATGACCGTGTTCGTCTAGACGCCTATCCGTCCATCACCCTGAGACTTCCCCAGTTGCGATTGGTACCTGTTTTCTTCTTTCCTCGGACGCGTAGTCAGAACTTATGCCGTGTGCTTGCCCTTCCTGTTCTTCTTAGGAACCTCCTTGATTTGTAGGTCTGCAGTTAAATAAACGTCAGCGCTTGTTTCGACGCTCTAGGTACTTAGTTTGCAGGAAAAAGAGGCAATGCGTACTCGGGGGTAAGCTCTGCTTCAGCTTCTCGGCCTTGTCGGAGTCCTTAAGGACCAGGGTGTACAGGTACCTGGAGCATCGGACCTTGAACTTGGTCTGCTGCTTGTTCTTCTTGATCCGGGCGGCTGTAAGAAAAAAAAGAAAGAAAATTCCAGTTAGTATAAGCACGGATACACAAACGGTCATGTCCTTCTTCATTTATCTCGTCACGTACACTTGGCGTCTTCCCGCCGGCAGATCTCGATGAACTGAACAAATCGTTTGTTAGTCGATTGAATATCATTTCCAAATTCGCGAAAATATAATATACCTTCTTGATATCGGCGATTTCCTGAGGCATTTTGACGGTGTGATGGCGGAATCGATGTTGATAGTTTGGATAGAAATCGAGAAGTTGACTTTTCTGCCGGTTGTTGCGAAATTGTGTGGGCAAAATTCCGTGACAGGGTTCTAAGCGATTTCCCAATATTGATAGTGGGGAGGGTTCTTGCGATTGATAAGAGACAAGTCCCAATCACAGTTTATGCACGGACCATTTCCAACAACTACCTAGGTACTTGAACAAAAAATGAGGCGTAGAACCAGTACCTCTCAATAACCTAGGTACGTGGCTAATGACGTGGCGTTAGCTTCTAGGCATCACAAGCTGATACGGGTATTAATCCCCATATACATGAGGAATCATAACCTATTAAACTGGACAGAGTTGCCTGATCACTGAATATGGTATATGAGTGATTCAGAGTTAATCCGTACATTCCTTGCCAATCCCTTCTACTATATAAGTCCTTTTTGGACTGCCAGTCGACCATGCCTACTCTTCTCGATAATGCCATGAAATCCAAGGTGCATAACCCTCTACATTATCTATCACCCCTTATTGCCGGCTGAAAGTCTCTTAACTAATTCAACGTGAGCAGAACGCTGTACTAGGTACATCTGCTAGTTACGTATAAGCTACAACCTTCGCAATACTGATGAATATTTATATCAAAGCCTTCTCCGGGCTTGTCACGGCCGCCCTCGCTTGGTCTTGGGCCGGCGGGAGTATATTTCCTTCCCAGGATGATCCAAAGGGCGACCCTGAGGATTGGACGCGCGAAGAGCTCAGAAGATGGCTCGCGGCCGTAAGAATATTCCCTTACTTCACCAAACTGGTAAACCTACTCCGTTGGCTGACTAGATCCAGCGCAACCTCCATCCCCAGAAGGGAGATACTCGAGAGCAACTTTTAGAAAGAGTCAAGGCGAATATGAGATAGGAATATGAGATAGGGCGCGTTGGTAGTGGTTATTCTCAATACTAATGACCCGTTAAGGTCATGTATAAGAGTGATAAAAAAAGTTGAAGGGAGCTGTTTATACATCCAACAGAAGGAACCATTGGGTTTTCAACTCACAAATTGGCACTTACTCTCATATTTCCACATACAAAATATATGGCTAAATTTGAATGATCGTTAGGTTTTTATCATGAACATTATCCCGAGTATGGCGTATTAGATGTGATAGTGTTAGGTTGTTGCATCTTTGGTCTAAAATTCAATTGAAGTTGACGAAAGTGTACATTTCTTACGAGGCGGTGCACTTGCTGTGCCATAATTCATACCGTACATGTATCCTTGTACCACTCGCACAAGCCACGTTGAACGTCTTACCTGACACGGTTTCTGGATGACAAGCTTACCTCGACTCGAGTTTACCATCTTACAATAATAGGTCCTTCCGCCAGCTAGACTGAGACGGATTCTACCTAATGCTCCCATCATCACCAGCAATTTAAATCTCGGCATGATGGATATCCTTCAGGTATGTTGCATAACTATCTTACTTATATTTTCTTTCTTTTTTTTCCTTTATAAATAAATAAAAACAAGCTAACATGATACAAATAGCGCCTAGCTCGGTTCTTGGACCGACCCCTCTTCCCGTGGAAGAAGCTCATCATTGGTTTCTCTGTCGCTCAGTATGTCGTCGAGGAGTACTTATCACTACGTCAGTATGGTGTCTTAAAGAAGGCAAAGCCCCCCAAGGTTCTCGAGAAGGAAGTCTCTCAGGAAGTCTACGACAAAAGCCAGGAATATGGTCGCGCTAAAGCAAAGTTCGGTTTCGTAAAGGGTCTCTGGGGTCAAATCCAGAATATTGCCTTCATTCACTTCGATGTTCTCCCCAAACTGTGGTCATGGACTGGTGGTCTCCTGCGCTTCGCCCCCGCTCGGTTTACCGGCGAGATCTCTCACTCAATTGTCTTCGTCCTTACGTTCATCCTGATTCAGCAAGCCCTGTCGCTCCCTGCCAACATCTACCATACATTCGTCTTGGAAGAAAAGTTCGGTTTCAACAAGCAGACCCCCAAGCTGTTCATCACGGACATGATTAAGTCAAACTTGCTCGCTTTCATCATTGCGCCTCCTGTTCTTGCCGGATTCCTTGCCATCGTGAAGAAGACGGGCAATCAGTTTGTCACTTACCTCTGGCTCTTCACTGCTGTTCTTCAGGTTTTCATGATCACCGTCTACCCCATTTTCATCCTGCCCTTATTCAACAAGCTGTCTCCTCTGGAGGAAGGTAAATTGAAGACCGAGACCGAGGCACTGGCGAAGAAGTTGAATTTCCCTCTTCATGAATTGTTTGTCATCGACGGTAGCAAGCGCAGCGCGCACAGCAACGCCTATTTCTTCGGACTTCCGTGGAAGAAGCACATCGTCATCTACGACACATTGATCGAGAAGAGCAGCCCGGAGGAGGTTGTTGCTGTCTTAGCGCACGAACTCGGCCACTGGAGTCTCGGTCACACTACTAGGCTTTTTGGCATCTCTCAGGTTTGTTCGGAACTTCCAATTGAAGCGCGCCAAGCATGCTAACAAGCAGTAGATTAACGTATTGTACATCTTTAGCTTGTTCTCGGTCTTCGTAAACAACAACTCGTTGTATGCCGATTTTGGGTTTATTAAGGAGCACCCTATCATCATTGGGTTCATCCTTTTCTCCGACGCATTGGCACCAATGGACCTTGTGATTAAGCTGTTGATGAACATCATGAGCCGGAAATTCGAATTCCAGGCTGATGCCTTTGCTCGTAACTTGGGTTACCAGAGGGAGCTGGCTTCGTCTCTTATCAAGCTACAGATCCAGAATCTTAGCACGATGGATGCAGATCCGTTATACGCAAGCTACCATTTCTCCCACCCCATCCTTTCGGAGAGGCTTAAGGCCCTAGAGTGGACCCCTACTGAAAAGGTGGTTAACGAGAAAAAGGAGGACGAGGATGCTGCTGAGAAGGCCAGCGGACGGGAACTATAGATGTCGCCAATTTTATATCTTCACATTGTGAGACAATGTATACTAGAAACTGGGCAACCATATGGGCAGGTATTTGGGTTAATGCGACATACTGTCTTGCCTTAGCCGTCTAGAATTTAATCATACGGATTTACCGCTCAGTTTACGGCACTGCTCTTTATGGCTCATATTGCTCTTGAAAACTAGTACGTGTGAGGTAGACGTAAGATAAAGAAGAACGTATGGCAATGCTATATTACTTTTTTTTTTTTTGTCTTTTTTTAGGTGATATGATAATAATAGGTACCTAGGCAGGTAGTGCAATAGTTGTGTATGATTATACCGGCCACATAGTAAATACCTAGGTAGGTAGTAAACAGAGATGTTTGATAGTACCTAGGATAGTATGGCCGGTATAGGTACCTGGCTGTATGCATGCCCGGGCAATGCAGGTGCCTTAGGTCTTACCTAGTAGGTACATGTACCTAACATAGGTACCTCCTAAGGCATAAAGCCCGGGAATGGGCAGTCAATCTAGGTACCTTAGGAGGTATCTTTAGCCAATCAAATGCTCTGTCCTATGACGTGGACTCTTAACGCGTGCTCCCCGCCAAAGATCCTTGCTAACTTCTGAACGCGACGCGCTTTTCCAAAAACCACTTAAACCACTTTTAATGAGCAACTCGTGCTTTTGCTACGCAATTCTCGCATCCATCCATTATCGTCAACAATACTTCAATTCAAACCGGTGCTTCTGATGTTTTAATTGTTCCCCTTCACTATTTTCCATCGACTCTGTCCTCGAAAGACATAGTCATGGCTACTAAATTCCTACCCCAGAAGCGCGCCCTTGGAGATGCTTCGGGTCGCAGAAATTTCCATTCGAATCCTAACGTGAAAAAGCCCCGTCTCGAGCCACTCTCCTCCTCACCGGCCTCGCGCCTAAACAGCTCTCAACAAGGTCCCGGTTCAAAGTTATCATCAACCCAGCCGAAGAGTGCCTTCGAGTCAGAAGTCCTCGAGAAACTAAGCCAAGATATTTCAGAGCTCAAGCAAACCAATTCGGAGAAGGATCAAGCATGGGAACGTCCTCCCGTTGTGAATTTCGACCCCGCTCGAGATAACCTCACCTTCCAACAAATAGAGGCTGAAGAAGGTTTTCTTCATACCGGAAAGACTACTGTCAAACTCTTCGGTGTGACCGAGAATGGCCACTCTGTGATGATGCACGTCACCGACTTCAAGCACTACCTTTACGTCGCTGCTCCCGTCTCCTTCACCCCCCAGGATTGCGAACCCTTCAAAGCCTACCTCGAGACTCAATTAGCCCAATACCAATCTGTTATACACTCTTGTCAAATTGTCTTGCGAGAGAATATCTACGGCTTTCAAGGCAATACACAAAGCCCCTACATCAAGGTTACGGTTACAGATCCGAAGCATATCGCAAGAGTGCGGTCGGCCTTCGAAAAGAATGAAGTAAATTGGAAGGGGATGTGGAAAGGGGTCGAAGGGGGTATAATGACATTTGATAATCTACAATACGTTCTGCGGTTCATGGTTGACTGCAAGGTACGAGATCTATGGCTATTACCCTAAAGTATTCTGCTAATCGTTATAGATTCCCGGTATGTCGTGGGTAGAGGCACCCGCCAAGTCGTATCGTTTAATACCAGATAACCAGCGGCAATCAAGCTGTCAGATTGAAGCCGAGATCAGCTACCGAGAGCTGATTTCCCACGAACCGAAAGGTGAATGGTCTAAGATGGCCCCCTTACGTATTCTTTCCTTCGATATCGAATGCGCCGGTCGAAAAGGCATCTTCCCGGAGGCAAATCAAGACCCAGTAATTCAAATTGCGAACGTCGTGACTCGTTATGGAGAGAGCAAACCCTTCGTTCGGAACGTGTTCTGCTTAGACCGGACGAGTCCCATTGTAGCAACCCAAATCCTCGATTTCGAGAGAGAATCCGACATGCTGATGGCTTGGAAGCGGTTCCTTGACAAAGTTGACCCTGATTTGATTACTGGTTACAACATTGCCAACTTCGATTTCCCCTATTTACTTGATCGTGCCGAGCACCTGAAGCTCCAGGGTTTTGATTACTGGACTCGTCTACACAGCGTGAAAACCTTCTCCAAAAAGACGAATTTTTCGAGTAAACAAATGGGAAATCGGGACACAAAGACCACAAACACCAATGGCCGATTACAACTTGATCTCCTGCAATTGATTCAGCGAGATCATCATCTTAGGAGTTATACACTGAATTCGGTGTGCTCTCACTTTCTCGGGGAGCAAAAAGAAGATGTCCACTACACGATGATTACCGAACTATTCAACGGTACACCGGAGTCCAGGCGTCGTCTAGCACTATACTGTTTAAAGGATGCCTACTTACCTCAGCGACTGATGGATAAACTCTCCTGTCTTGCGAATTATACAGAAATGGCGAGAGTCACAGGAGTTCCGTTCAACTTCCTTCTCTCGCGTGGACAACAAGTCAAGTTCATGAGCCAATTGTTCCGGAAGGCTCTGGAGCAGAAGCTTGTAATCCCAAACATGAGATCAGAAAGCTCGGACGATCAGTATGAAGGCGCTACGGTTATCGAACCTACTCGAGGTTACTACGACGTGCCTATCGCAACTCTCGATTTTGCATCGCTATATCCCAGTATTATGCAAGCGCATAATCTTTGCTATACAACTCTCGTGAACAAGAGGGCGATAGAAAAGTTTAACCTCAAGAAAGATGAGGACTATATTGTCACACCCAACGGTGATATGTTCGTCACTGTCAAGCAGCGAAAAGGCCTTCTTGCCCAGATTCTCGAGGAGCTTCTTTCAGCAAGAAAGCAAGCCAAAAAAGAACTAGCCGTTGAGACTGACCCTTTCAAAAAGGCCGTTTTGAACGGTCGTCAGCTCGCGCTGAAGGTCAGCGCCAACAGTGTTTACGGTCTTACAGGTGCCACCACGGGCAAGCTCCCATGTCTGGAGATCGCCAGTAGTACCACAAGTTTCGGTCGACAGATGATTGAGAAGACTAAAATGGAAGTGGAAAAGAAGTATAATATCGCAAACGGATATACTCATGACGCCCAAGTCATCTATGGCGATACCGATTCCGTCATGGTTAAATTTGGGACGAAAGATTTAGCGGAGGCGATGAGACTCGGCGAGGAGGCAGCGAATTATGTGTCATCAAAATTCGTCAAGCCTATCAAGCTAGAGTTCGAGAAGGTCTACTTCCCATACTTGCTCATCAACAAGAAGCGATATGCGGGTCTCTTTTGGACGAGACCTGATAAATTCGACAAGATGGATACCAAAGGTATCGAGACTGTCAGGCGAGATAACTGTCTGCTGGTACAGACCGTTATCGAGAAGGTCTTGAGGATGATCCTGATTGATCAGGACGTCCAGGGAGCTCAAGAGTATGTCCACTTCCTTTATATCTAAGCCTTGTTATACTAACCAATATCGCAGCTACGTCAAGGATACAATCGCGGATCTGTTACAGAACAAGATAGATATGTCCAAGCTTGTGATTACGAAGGCGCTCACCAAAGAAAGCTATGATGCGAAGCAAGCTCACGTCGAACTTGCTCAGCGTATGAAGAAGCGAGATGCTGGTTCCGCACCTGGGTTGGGTGATCGAGTAGCATACGTTATGGTGAAAGGTGCAAGTGGAGCGAAGAATTTCGAGAAGTCGGAAGACCCAATCTTCGTTCTAGAGAACAACGTCCCCATCGATACAAGATATTACCTCGACAACCAGTTAGCCAAGCCCCTGGGACGTATATTCGATCCTATTCTGGGAGAGACAAAATCAAAGTCGCTCCTTACTGGTGACCATACCCGTTCCGTCTCAGTTGCGGCGCCAACAGTAGGCGGCCTCATGAAATTTGCAAAGAAGACCATGACATGCATGGGTTGCAAGAAACCGCTCGTGAGCAAGGAGGAAAGTGGCGGCGCTGCCTGCTCAGACTGCGCGCCTCGCGTGGGTGAATTATACAAGAAGACACTGGACAAGGTATCTGACCTAGAAGTCCGGTTTGGGAGACTGTGGACGCAATGCCAGCGATGCCAAGGCAGTATGCATGGTGAGGTGATCTGCAGCAGCAAGGACTGTCCTATCTTCTACATGCGCATGAAGGCGAAGAAGGATGTGGAGGACGCGAGCAAGGAGCTGAAGCGGTTTGATTTCGACCAATCGGCTATATGGTAATGATAAAATAGGTACTAGAATCAAGTGCATCCGTGGTATGGGAAGAAGTTGGGCGTTATGAGAGATGTACGACGATGGTATGGAGTCCGGGTTTGGTGGTTTATACTTTACGAATGGCTAAGCGATACACATATATAATAAGGGTTCGCAGCCTCGAGCACCGTGGGACAAGATACCATATACACATATCGACGTTGCAGTTCTAATAGAGTTGTGCTATTCACGAGAGCTTGGTAGCATACCCAGGTACCTAATGATCATAGCAAGAGCACTACGTAATCGAATGATGGTGGGTTAGGTTGCGCACTTACATGGATGTCTGGTAGAGAGGACTTGATTTCCCCTAAGTTGAGGTCTGTTCGTTCCACGTAAGTAGACTAGCTAATGATGAAAGGCTTGACTTGATCTATTACTATTTCTATGCCATGGTTCTATTTTCTTGCTTCCTGCTTAATATGTAGCATGTAGGATATAGCCATTCTATTATTCGAGACAATAATTAGGTAGTTAGTTCTAATTTACTTGAAATTACTAAATGATGATATACTTCCATTTGTACCTAGGCGTGATCGCATGCCATTATAGGTACTAGTCGCATTACATAAGTTATACACCGAAAAGTAAACCGTATAACTCCCAAGACTTGCCGTCAAGGTGCTTTGTCATAAGTATTAGTTAGGTTAATCGCATACTACTATAGTATGGATGTATCTAGATGGAAGCTACCTCCCATTAGAGAAGGACCGATGGTGATGAACATTGCGGGGAGTTCTTTAGACCAGAAATCAATTAGCGAACTTCATGCGAAACCTTCCAAACATCCTCCTCCTCTTACAGTAAAACCGTACCATAACGAATCTAGTATATAGCGAATTTACACCTTAACGAATTGATATAGCTGTTTCTTGAATTTCGTTAAATTTTATGCTTAGTCACCACCAAATTCGTTATAGAATAGGTAGTGTTATACTGTTTTAGGATAAACACTAAGCTATTTTTGGAAAAGTCATCCTTAATTTCGCGCTACTTTTTGACTTTTTCAAGCTTATTAAGTTCGTTAGGTACGTACCTACTACCCTTTACCCCTTTGGTACTAGCTCCATTTTACTCTCTAGAGCGAATTTACACCATAACGAATCTGATTCGCTGTTTTTTCCCATTCGTTATGGTAGGGTTTTACTGTATTATACTCTAATCACCAATTTCACCCACAACCCCACCACCTTCTCTAAGCATGGTATCACGATTTACAACGAGGAAGTATGTCACTTTGTAAGACGACGCCACTAGAATTATCGGTGTTAAAAGGTCTTAATAGCGTCCATTACCGCTATGATTCACAGAATAGACAACAAGTCAAGCAAGGCTAGTCATTCGAGAAAAAGAAGATGGAAAGTATAGAGTTCTACCCCAGGACTTTATATCAGTCTTGGTAGGTACCTTATATGTAAGCATGTCAGTAACGCTTATACTAGTAACGTTCCAATTGATCCTCAAACGTTGCTAAAGACATAACTACCTCTTAGCCTCGAGGTAGTCTAACTAGCTGACTAGCACAAATACCAGCGTCGAAGATGAGGGGCTTCTTTTCAAGGATCATCTCGAACAACACTTCGACGCCTTGGCTGCCTAAGGAAATACGGATCCGTATGCTCATAACTTAAATGTCGTATGGGAATTTACTCGCGGTTCATTTTCGTAGCGGTGCTCAATATGAAATTCTGAGAGCCTGATCCGACTTGCTCCGGTCGCGGAACATCTCGGTCAAATAGTCTTTTGAGACTAGTCGGCGCAACTTGGGTAGCTATTACGCAATCTATATCCATTGGAGAGATGCTACTGGATCGAAATTTCCGCGAGATGCATGTCTCGCAGGGTCCGCTCTGTCGTTCCCTGTCCTTACAGGTCCATCCTGGCCGTCCCAAGTCCTTGGCAGGGCCGTTCCGCGAACGGCGGCTGACAGATTCCATATTCCACACACTTCAAGCGTGGAAATTCTATCACCAAACTTCGATTGACGTGAATATTGTTGTCGTCGCAAACTCAACCCACGAATCAGCGATCTCTGATAAGATGCCGCACACCTGTGGCGAAGCTTAAACTTCTGGCTTCTCCGGGTCTGATCCCTACCTTACCGTAACCTACCGTAGGGCGTCGAGATCACAGTCTATGGTTGGTTGATTCTCATCTTGGCTCACGATTCAGCTCCTAGTTCACACATATGTCCCCCACAGAGACACCACATGGTTCTGTAGCAGCCGCCACGAACTCCGTCACCGCTCTGATGCTCGTATGCGCATTTTGACATCAAAGAGCATGTGCTACGGTGTTTTCTATATTTTTTTTTTTCGCCCACTCGAGGTTGTGCGGCCGTCGAAAAACGTAGCCCCGTCATTATGTACCTACCTTAACCTAGCCAAATTCCGTTGAAGATTCCTACTTGGCTCCCGGAAATTAGGCTTACGGCAACATAGTACTCAAAGCGTTATCTCGGTCGCCCCGAATATCAGCGAGAAAGTTCTTGGTCCGCCGACAACGCTCTGGACTTAGAGGAGCTGGTATATTCTCTAGAACATGGATCTGCGTGGACTAGATTGAGGCATATACCTTGATCTCATCCAGCCGGCCAACAATTGCCTCAGTTCAGACAGGGGCAAGACCAGAATAATATGAAGGGAAAAAGAAAAAAAAATCAGCCGGAATCGTTCACTACGGCCTAGAGCCCCCCACACCTTTGTTCCCGGGGCAGGTGAGGCTACATACAGTCTTACCCTCTATCATTAGCAAAAAACTGTAGTCATTGGGCGTCACAGCTTGGGTTACCTGGCCTGCCTCAGGTATGAAGGGCCACCTTTACAAAATAGCAACGCGGAGTCAGGGCCTTGATCGGCACATTCACCACTTTACAATTTAGTCTGGAGGAGCACCGATGACGGTGACTCTCGGTCTTTGTTCTTCTCGAGCGGGAGGCGCATATAATTACTCGCCTTCCCTCGGCTCTGATCCTTTCTTCTTAACTCTCTGAAAATATAAAGATAAAGCTCGCACTTCTGACGACTCGTTCACGGGAGGCGTATTTCCTATTTCCTATTCCCTTTACATTAGCATCGTGCCAGACACAGTTTAAGATACCCATTTTTTACCGATACCCTTCCGCTTTAAAATTATACCCAGACTTAAGTCTACGTCGTAAACATGTCTCATCTTCCCTCTGAGCCCGAGTTCGAGCAGGCCTACAAAGGTAAATAAATCAAAGTAGCAACAGCTAGTGGGTACCGGCCCGGACTAACGCGATGGATAGAACTTGTGGCCACTCTTGAGGAGAGCACACTTTTCGAGCAGCACCCCGAGTACCGAACCGCGTTGAAGGTCGTTTCCATCCCGGAGCGTGTTATCCAATTCCGAGTCGTCTGGGAAGACGACAAGGGTAACCTGCAGGTGAACCGCGGGTACCGCGTGCAGTTCAACTCCGCTCTGGGTCCGTACAAGGGTGGCCTGCGATTCCACCCTACCGTCAACCTGTCAATGTAAGAAGACCTCTTACCTAAAAGGGTAACTGCCATTTTCAACGGAGCCAATCGTATTGACATGCACACCAAACAGTCTGAAGTTCTTAGGCTTCGAGCAGATTTTCAAGAATGCCTTAACAGGATGTAAGTTTGCGCTCACCATGGAGGAAAATTGAGCACCACTAATCATTTTCTGGTTAGTGAGCATGGGTGGTGGAAAGGGAGGTGCAGACTTCGACCCTAAGGGCAAGAGTGACAACGAGATCCGACGATTCTGCGAAGCCTTTATGCGAAGACTTTGCCAGCACATTGGCGCCGAGACCGACGTTCCCGCCGGTGATATTGGTGTCGGCGGCCGAGAGGTTGGCTACATGTTCGGCACATACCGCAAGGAGAGGAACAAGTGGGAGGGTGTCCTCACCGGAAAGGGTCTCTCTTGGGGTGGTAGCCTGATCCGACCAGGTAAGTGCCAATATCGCTGCAAAGCGCCCAAGACGACGAACGAAGCTAACGATTTTGTTGAACAGAGGCTACCGGCTACGGTCTTGTCTACTACGTTGAGCACATGATCAAATACGCCGGCAAGGGCAGCTTCAAAGGAAAGCGCGTTGCCATCTCTGGATCCGGAAACGTCGCCCAATACGCTGCTCTGAAGTGCATTGAGCTGGGTGCCACAGTGGTGTCTCTGTCTGATTCTAAGGGTGCTCTGATTGCTGAGGGTGACGCATACTTCACTCCTGAGCACATCAACGAGATCGCGGCCATTAAGCTCGAGCGCAAGCCCATCACCGAATTCAGTGGCAAGTCGCAATTCAAGTACATCGAGGGCGCACGTCCCTGGGTACACGTCGGCAAGGTGGACATTGCCCTGCCATGCGCTACACAAAACGAGGTCAGCAAGGAGGAAGCCGAAGTTCTAGTCAAGAATGGTGCGCAGTTCATCGCCGAGGGCTCCAACATGGGCTGCACACAGGAGGCTATCGACGTGTTCGAGGCCGCCCGAAAGGAGAAGGGCAATGACGCCATCTGGTACGCACCGGGCAAAGCCTCAAACGCTGGTGGTGTTGCAGTCTCTGGCCTAGAGATGGCGCAGAACAGCAGCCGCTTCAGCTGGACTCAGGAGCGCGTCGACGAGCGCCTCGCTCAGATCATGAAGGGCATCTTCGACCAGAGCATTGAGAAGTCCAACAAGTACGTCAAGACCAAGGTGGGTGAACTTCCCAGCTTGGTTGCCGGTGGTAACATCGCCGGTTTCCTCAAGGTTGTCCAGGCTATGCACGACCAGGGCGACTGGTGGTGAACTGCCTGGCATGCAAAGCACAAGGCATATTAGCTGGAGGAGCCGGGCGGCTATAGTTCGCCCATCACGTCGAAGGATTCACGTCTAGACGGGTGATTAGCTAGTTCGCTAGACCATCGTTGTATTAGCGATTAGGGGCTGCCACCTCCGTGCATGCAGGGCGCCGTTAAAAGATCGGTGGATCGGATTGCATTATGGAGGAAGGAATGCCTAATACTGGCATGGATGGGAGGGAACTTGGCACGGCGCAGGGCAGACAGCTGGATGGATAGGATAGCTGGCTGGCTGGCGGGTTACGATGTGATGTATGATATGATTACCAAAGGACAGCTGTGCCTTTCCCGGGCGAATAGGCGCTCGGAAAACTTGGGGGCACTGGGAGATCGTATGTAGGACATAGGCATAAAAAAAAAAACGAAACGAAACGGAATGAAACATTTTCACGAACAAGAAAGCAGGCAGATACGTAGGCCGTTGGTTCTGATCTCGTATTCGACTAATGTTACTCGAATTAGACTGACCAGGTTACAGAAAAGTGAAGAAACGATGCGTATTGGTGTAGCTGTCGAATGAACATTTGGGTATTTGGGTATTTACACGAGAGTCCTACTTCTGCTATATATTTAGGTACCTAGGTACATGTCTCTCTACCGAGCCCTTATATTATGGAAGCTACCTAGATCACGTAGGTAACGTCCAACTACCGGATGGAGACATTTCATGCAAGTAGGTACCGAGCTAGCTGAATATATCATACACGAGTATGTACATGATGAGGTACATATATAATATATAAGGTATAAAAGGGAACCAGCCAAAGGCAACCTCAATACTACCACATCATTCATGTTAGGGAGTCCCATCCCGTCCCATCGCATCCTAACACCGTCGTAGCATTGCATCGGGAATTTAATCTATACAGCCCGTCCAATAGCACGCACGCACCGCTCCCGGCACGCAGATTGAAGCTTTTGCTACCTAGGTAGGTATAGGCTATCTTAGGTACCTAGGCCCTAGGGTATGCACTTCAGCTGCAATGCGTGCATATACACACACCTAACATACATATTCATCGTGCATTAGACGTCGTAGTATTGGGAGTATAGTAGTATCAGTATCAGTAGCAGTGGAGGGATAAGCGCGTAGGCGGATAGGAGGTACCTAAGGTGGTATTCCTATCGGTAAACGTGAAGAGTTGCAAAATAAATTCAAAAACCCCATACGATGATCGTCACTCATCCGGCCCCTTTCAGCAGCCATATACATGTCTAAGGGTAGGCACCTACCTACCTGGTACCTACCTCCTATGCGACTAGTTGAGGTAGGTAGGTCGCGATATATGGCCTGTGGGGATTTAGAAGTGCGCGAGTGGATTTCCATATGTACCCAGGACGGAAAAGGGTCAGATCGATGGAGGCAGCCAACGGACAGTTGGGACGTCGGGTGGAGTTCCCACATCTACGATCCTCTGGGGAACCGGGCGACGGGGAGTAGGTAGTCTCGGTACCTACCTCCTACTAACCTAAGGTATTCGATTCGATATCTGCACATGCGATGTGATATGATGTGATGCGACGGGCTATACCTGCCGCCCAAAGGCATCCATCCGTTCATCTAGGACCTATTGCCTGCCGTCCCTCTCGCGTGGTTTCGTCGGCACATATAGCGCTGTGGCGGGACCGGGGCAATGGATGCGCTCCTATTCCTGCTAGGTACCACCCATTCGCCGATTCCTAGCTGCTTCGGTCTATCGTGAGTTCCTATGTACAGTAGGTTAGATAGGTAGATGCGATTGTCTGCCTATTGCCCCGTACAGATCTGGGCCGCTTATAGGTACGACTAAACCGGGCTGAACCAAGCTAGTAAGGTGCCTAAGGTAGATAGACGGGAATCATGTCGTGTCATATATATCTGAACCCGCGTGATCGAAGTCGTGTCGTCATTTCTAAGTCGAATCCAGATACCGACGCTGTGCAGTTGATGCATGTACGTATATGCTTAATATAGGTATGTTAGGTTAGGTAGGTATATATATTGGTGGTGGCTTGAACACCCCGTAATTTGGCACGGGTGGCGAGAATACGGATCCCGGGGCTCTGGACGGGGTAAGGGAAGGCAAGGCAAGGCGAGGTGAGGTGAGTGAGCCCGGTTGGACGGGTGGGAAGGGGTGGAGAGGGGGGGCGGTCTCTGTGCGTTTCCTCGTCAGGGTTGCCATGTGAGAAATCTCACTTTCACTCTCAATCTGAATCACCAACCTGGATCTCGGGTCTCTAGACATCTGCAGAAGGCCAGCATTGCCCTCTCCCTTACGTTCTGCTTACTCTGTATGTAGGTACCTACCTACTGTCATACCCGGGCCTTTTTTTTAAGTGTGCGTACCTATCTTAAACGGTAGCTTATCCGGTAAGACGGTTCCTCTCAGGTTAGACGGCGATATTAATAACGGCCAATGAAGGGGCGGCTTACTTGATCCTACGTCTTCCGCGATACACCACGGTTCTGAGTCGGATTCCCTACAATACCAGGTACTTACCCTAATTTTACATTCCGTCCCCTGATATGATATTTCTTGAAGGGGCCAAGAGGGAAGAAAGAGTGGTGGTGGCGGCGGCGTTGTCTGCGACGAATGATAAAAATTCTCCGTAGCCCCCCGGTGCGACCAACTTGATACTCGAAATCCCTTTCCCGATCGGAGATGTTTCGACGGAACTGGGAATACTACGTTGTTTCGCGCTTATACGCGCTTACAGGCTATGGTCCAAGTTACGGACACACATACACAGAGAGACAGACACACGCATACGCTAAGTGGGCTGATACTGACGGAATCGCGTGGTGCCATGTTACGATGTAAATTCATATTTGCGGCTACTTGCAGGGCAGGATCTTGCGTGCGGATGTCGTGAATGGCGGACGGGATGCTGCCGTACGATGCCGGCGACACTTACGTGACCGTGTTACGCCGGACGGCAAGTGAGGGGATGGGGAAATAAACTATCCGTGGTCTCTGCCTGCTGCGTTGTTTTTTTATCAGAAAGAAGATCGAAACACGGAGATAAGATGACGATGGAGGGGACGGAAGCACTACAGGGGAAAGGGGCGGTGCTACTACCTATGGCATGCTTATATTAGATGGGAGAGCTTGGGTTGCGGTCGGTACAGGCACGAGGTGGGTTGTACGATTGTTTCTCCTTTTGGGACCGGTCTCTAGCCTCACTGTGGTGGTTATGTGTGTACCTGACGTATTGGCATTGTACCTGCAGCCGAACGCAACGCATCAGGATCTGGCTATGATGTACCTACTAGTAGCAGGTCAAAAATAGCAATAGCTACCTAGCTAGCAGAAGAAACCCCGATTGAGAACTTGATACGGGAGTCCAGAAGCCATTGCTGACCAATTCGAAAAGAAGAGTCTCGTAATTGGGCCCGTGTTAGGGTAACGACAATCATTTCGAAACCCGGTTCCCGTAATCATCATAGAAGAGGAATACTCGTTACGAGGAAATGAATTTGTTCGAGGGTCGTCCAATTATAATTCTCGACCAGGCAGACCTTTTTCAGTAGGTACCGTACCTGGAATCGGAAATGGAAATGCGACCCAAACGTCGTCGTCTCTGCAAGCTAGGTAACGTAGCCACGTTCCTCCACAAGCTCGCATCCCCGGAGCGCACGTCTCATTTGCTGATGCTGGCGAGCTGAGTCAATTCCAGCGAACGGCCTACCGCTAGTTCCGTTGGATAGGGGGGGAAGGGAGAGAGAGAGAGAGGGTGGTGAGTGGGGTCGAAAAGAGAGGTCAGCAATGGCGTCGCATATTCCGAATATCTGATGTTAGGGTTTTATCATCTCAGCGTCACCCTGCCACTTTGCCGAGCTGACATCGCCAGCGGCCTCCAAATGTCGATTGGCCGTATACTCACGTCTAGAGGGGGGGAAAAAAAGGAGAGATAACCTCGTTTCGGCTTCGCAGTCCCAACGAATCGTTTTCAGCTATTTGGGTGTTTGGCCCTTTCTGATATTGTTTAGCCAAGGCCAGTAAGTAATACTATGATAGTAAGAGGCAGGTATCATAGGTAGTATTAATCTTATTTGTTTGTTCGTGCTAGGTACCGATTGGTATGGATTAGTTCAGCCCTACGTCTTGGCGGAGTTCTTTGACCTAGGATTGTGATGTTGTTCCTATTCCAGTGGTGAGGGGCAGCGAACTTGCTATAGAAGTTATATCTAACCATTTGCCGTATTATTAGTTAGCGCAGAGATTGAACCACACCACATGCCTGGCCTTCCCCCCTCTTTTTAGCGAAGTCAGCAACTGAGCTCGAGCCTATGTGAAAGGGTATCTTCCGAATCGAGTCGTTTACTAACCAATCAACGATGGGAATGCCAGCATTATTAATAACGAAAAAAAAAAGAAGTAACCAGTTTTTTCCAATTTCTTATTGGACGAGGTATGTCATAGATTTCAACCTCTTTAACCCCCGGTAGCGTCCCTTGCATCATTTTCATCCAGAGCCACGGTTCGTTGTTCAGCTCAGAAGTGAAATTCTCAGGGGAGAGATACCGTCTCCCTGGATCTGGGCTATTAGACCGACGGGAATGCCCGTTTAGGCACTGATAGCGATACCTAGGTACTACTTGCTTCCAATCTTCAGCACATTCGTAACAGCCGAATATGTGACCCCTATAATATTTTTGGTTGAATTTACTTGGCTGCTTGGTAAGAGATTGGGGCGGTTTGGTTGATTACGGCGCTTAATATTGCAACACGTTATGCAGTTATGCAACTTGTTACTACTATTTGAAGTTACATTTTAAGCGTAAAATAATGCGTTATAAACCTCCACCCATTGGGGAAGTCACATGTCTCCGTTACAGACGTGTAATAATGCATTACAGGTAAGGTACCTGGTAGTAGGTACCGGCATTCATGTGGATTAGGTACAACTTTTACTATGTGCGTAAGCTACGGAGTGATGTACTCGTCCCGTCTCGCTGTCTCGGATCTCAATCTCCATCATTCGCTGTTGTTTCGTCCAACCAAACACCCCCAAACATCCTTCAAGGACACCCTTAGGTATCTCATCTCTTTCCACTTCGTATAATATTATATACTATTTCCAGTATCTCACAAATTGATACCATATCCGGAATCCTCTCCCAATTGGCTACGTCTTCTACTTCGTATGCTTTGTGACACATAAGAAAGGAAGAAATAGATAATACTCTTCTTGTTAGCTTCGCTTTTTGTTCTATTGCTCAGCTAGGTATCGCCAACATCCGGCAGCATACCACATACAGCATATCAACGTAGTATACCTTTTTTATTTTTTTAGTATTATCATTATTATTAGATCTCACCGAGACTAGCGTTTGTTCTCCAATAGCGTCGATGCACTGCAAGCTCGGTAGACGATTCGTTAACCTCCACTTACATACACTGTTACTCCTTTGGGATAAGAGCATGAGCTGGCGATCGTTCTAAGGTTGCTTCGACTTTCAGCCCTGCCTCAGCAGCAAGGGTCTGCGCCCCCTGTTCTCTTAGACTTGCAGTAGCTCCGCAAGATGAGAAAAGAGCGTTACCACCCCTACGATGTACCGTAGTGTATTCTGCAATAACCACTGCTAGGCAGTTGTCTAATCCTGGGCTGTCGACCGTTAAGCCCTCCGCTTTTTCCTCATTGTCATCATTCCCATTGTGTAAAGCCATGTCTAGGCAGAGCGGTATCGATATACAAAGGCGTAATACCCCCTGGTGTATTATCCAGCTATATGAAGCCACCAACCTCGGAGGCGTCAAATACAGATAACCATTCATTTATTCAAATCTCATCTCAGCAAATTCTAACTCCATGTACCCTAGTTGTGCACCAATCTCATAATTCCACACGAAGCTACTGCCTTATCCCCAAGGTCTTTCTTTATAGCATCACTTGCTTGCTTTTCCCGTTACCAAACGCTAGATTGAGTGGCGAGCTCTGATAAAACGGCCATACTAAGGCTGGTCTTGGCATTCTATTGCCTTGGGCAAGTCGAATATTGCTACAATGCCGTCTGCGACTCCTAATGTTCCGGCCATTGGTGCCAAGGATACCAAGCCGACGTTCATCGAGGTGCCAGTCACGAATGGGATCGGCAACGGGTTCGGAAGACGGCTTAACAGTAGGGCAACATGGAACGGACATGAACATCCTCATAGCACAAGTGCTTCAGATTGTTCGTCGGACACTTTCAACAATAGCTTCTACGGGCTTAATGCTAGTGACGCGTGGAACCATGCTGAACCTAATCCCGGTCGCAGGTTTAGTGTTGACGATGAATCAGGAGAACAGCAACCTCGCGCTTTTCCCCGGATACAGCCCTGGGGAGATGATCCTAAAACCGCACAGTTCCCTCGTATATCCAAGCCCGTGGAGCTTATGCGCAACTCATACGACTGTGTTGTCATCGGCTCTGGTTACGGTGGCGGCGTGGCGGCGTCCCGCATGGCTCGCGCCGGTCAATCGGTTTGTCTCCTTGAGCGCGGCAAGGAACGCTGGCCAGGGGAGTATCCCGTCAGCACCGGTGATGCCCTTAACCAGGTCCACTATTCCGGCGAGCTCGCCCCCGGTTGGCTACCCAAGAAGGTAGTCGACGGTGGGGATCCTACCGGTATGTATCATTTAATATTCGGCAACTGTCAAAATGCAGTTGTTTGCAATGGTTAGTACCCGCACGCGAGAGATGAAATATAAAATGTTATATTAACCATATTTTAGGTCTCGGTGGTACCAGCTTGATCAATGCCAATGTATACTTGCCAGCGGACAAAGACACGCTGCGACAAGACGCATGGCCGAAGGAAATCAGAGAAGATCCTGACTCTTTGGACGAATGTAAGACTCAGATTCTGGTATTTCACAAGGGGTGATCTATCCTATATCATCCCTTTGACTACTACCCCGTTGGCTATAAAAACTATTTCCGCATAACTACAAAGAAAAGTAACTAACCAGATGATCAAACAGATTATAGGAGAGCAGAAGAGGTCTTGGAACCAGAACCGTACCCCGATGACTGGCCAAAATTGCCAAAACTCGAACTCCTAGAGAGACAAGCAAAGTATCTAAACATGTCAAATAAGTTTCGACGAGTGAAACAGACAACGCGATTCCGTAATGGTCCAAATAGCTGTGGTGTGGAAATGTTTCCATCAGCACTCACCGGCCAGGATGTCACAGGTCTAAACGACGCGTCTAAGAACACCACGCTGGTTACGTACCTGGCTGACGCGTGGAACTGGGGTGCCGATTTATTTTGCGAGGCCGAGGTACGATACATAACTGAGGCTCCTGGCGACCAATCCGGGTATATCATCTATTTCGCTTGGCATGGGCGGAATCGTGGCCACTTCAAAGCAAACCTACACGGCGACCTTATGTGGGTCCACGCAAAGAGTGCTGTCTTTCTCGGTGCTGGTACTATCGGAACAACCGAGATTCTCCTTAGAAGCAGGGACATGGGGCTCGAGTTGAGTGAGAAAGTAGGCCAGAACATGAGCGGCAATGGGGATATCCTAGGGTTCGGGTATGCAATCCCGTCACAATTCTAAGCGAATTCTTTCTAATAGGTTGCAGATACAACACCGACTATGAGGTGAACGGAATGGGGAAAGCCTCCCCGTCTCCTTCTCATCCTATTGGGCCTTGTATAACCGGCATCATAGACAATAGAGAAGGCCACGAGAACCCCTTGGATGGCTATGTTATCGAGGAAGGGTCTATACCGTCAGCCCTTGCGCCCTTTTTACAGGCTATGCTTGAGCTCCTGCCTGGTAGCATTGAGCCGACCGGCGAAGGCCTTGTTGGTAGAGTGAAGGCAAACCTTGCTCGCGCAGGAAGCGCACTTCTCGGTCCCTACTATCGGAAAGGCGCCATTGAGAGGACACAAGTGTACTTGATTATGTCCCATGACAGTGAGTTTATCGTTGACAGCTTCTCGGCAGAAGTGAATGCTAATTGAGCTTTAGGCAACCAAGCGTACTTAACTCTAAAGGACGATAAGCCTGTCCTTGAGTTTGTAGGTGTCGGCCGTAGTGATCATGTTAAGTACCTAAACCGTGTACTAGAAAGAGCTACAAGAGCGGTTGGGGGAACATACGTTAATAACCCCTGGCATGCTCTCTTAGGAGAACAGCAAATTACGGTTCATCCGATTGGGTAAGTTATCTGGCAATACCTGATAGATATCTAGATCCTAATAGTATTCAGTGGTGCTTGTATGGCTCGCGATGGGACTGGTTCGACCGGCGTTACAAACCATAGGGGTGAGGTCTTTAAAGGTTCCGGAACAGAGACCTACTCTGGTCTCATTGTCACAGATGCTGCGGTTATCCCGACCGCCCTCGGCGCAAACCCATTTGCGACTATCACAGCCCTAGCCGAACGGTCTGTGGACCACTATATCAAGGAGAGGGGTCTCACAATCGACATGACACAGAATAAAATTCTCGATCTCTTCGGCGCCCCTGAACATAGCCACCACCGTAAAAGAAGTGGCTGGAAAGAGCGCGCTGAGGAGAGGCAAGAGACAGCCAAACTAAACAGTGCAACGAAGGCGATGATCTCTGCTCGACGCATGAATGAATCCGGGTTCGGTTTCACGGAAGTCATGTCTGGATATATCCATAGAGACAAGGGTCTCAAGCGAGATAACATAGACACATACGAGCTGGCAGCCAGGACTGCGAAATCCTTAAGCGAAACAGCGCGATTCTTTCTCAGCGTGCAGTCCTTTAGCCTCAGGTCGACCATACGCGATCCCAGCCATAAAGCAACGCTAACAGGTACCTTTGTCTGTCCTACCCTCGAGGGTTCCCCGTTCATGGTCCAGCGGGGAGATTTCAATTTATTTTTGTTGGATCGAAAAGCACCTGGGACACGAAACCTGACGTATGATTTCGACATGCGTGGAGTCAATGGGAGGCAGCTGCATTTCCACGGCTATAAAGTTGTTGATTCGTCTGTCGCGTTGTCGCCGATGCGTTTCTGGAAATCCACTAGCACTCTCTATGTTACCATCACTGAGCCCATTTCAGAATCACAGCGAACGTGTACGGATGCGGACGAATGTGGCCTCCTGGGAGAAATCGTTGCTAAGGGTATCATGAGTATCCGAGCAGAGGATTTCCTTTCCGAAGTTCTTACCCTCACCCCCACGGGCAGTAGTATTTTCAAGAAGGTCTTGAGTGCAGCTAACTTCCTGACATTTTTTACTCGAAAGTCGATGTCACTTCTCCTATCACCGCTTACACCCTTACAATACCCCGCGCAGGCATACACTGGATATATAAACAACACGCCTCCGACCGAGGTGTACAAGGTTCATGCCTCCGACGGGGTTGTTACTAGATTATATAGGTGGGAGCCCACAAACACGACGATTGAAACCAAGAACCTGTTTATGATCCCCGGAGCTTCGGTGGACCATCAGATATACGCACTCCCCACCATCCGCTATAATGCAGTCAACTACTTCCGTCGAGCTGGCTACAGAGTGTGGGTTCCTGTTCATCGTATCTGCATGCTGATGGTTGCACAAGACGATTGGACAACGTTCGATGCACGTTTAGATCTGAAAGCTTGCCTGGAGAAGATCCGAAAAGAAACCAAGGAACCTGATAAGGACCCTGAACCTGTATACACCATTGCACACTGCATGGGTAGCGTAGCATTCTCAGCCGGTCTGCTCGACGGCACAATCCCCGCGAAATGGATCAAGGGCATAACCTGCAGCCAAGTTTTTATGAACCCGAAATGGAATACTTTAAACATGATCAAGATTATGGCCTTGCCAATTCCAGCCGATACGATATACCGGTTCTTGTCGGGAGATTGGTTCAACTTTAGCACGACTGTAAACGATTCCTTGATTCAGAGAACTCTTAACGAGTTACTGCGCGTCATGCCGGATGAGCGCAAGGAGCTCTGCAACAACGTAAGCTGCCACCGTATCACGTTAGCGTTGGGACGGTGTTGGAACCACCGTAACCTTAACGAGGCGACTCACCGACAGATCGACCGTTTCTTCGGAGGCATCAGCATGACGCTCTTGCATATGCTCATGAAGCAGGGTTACGAGGGAGGTGTGATGAGCAACGCTCCCCTATTTGAGCGGTTAGACACTCCGGAGAACATTCACAGGCTAAAAGGTGTTCCGATCATGCTGTTTGTCGGCCGCGACAACGCTGTTCTGTCACCCGAATCTACGGAGCGGACATACGAGGTCCTCACAGATACATTCGGGACGGGTGACCACGCGAGCGGCATCCAGTACCGGCGCCGCGTAGTCCCAGACTACGGACATCTCGACTGCTGGATGGGACGTAACGCCTGGAAGGACGTATATCCGTTCGTCCGCGAGGAAGTCGACCGCGTTGTGCGGGGAGAAGAGTATAGGTTCCGGGAGCCGGCTGATCATTTTTCGGAGCTGGTTCTTAGCGGCAAATTACTTTACTAACCTTAGGTTAGGTAGTGTTATGTATACCATCGTTAAGTTAACCGCCTTGTAAAAAACTAAGGGTTTTGTACAAACTAGGGGAAAGGGGAAGAGGCGTTGGGGTATTGGATTGCTTTGAGTTGGGCGTTGGATATGCGGATGTGAATATGGCTGTATGGGTATAGGTATAGGTGTGGAGGAAAAGCTGATGAAGTCTGATATAAGTGTACCAATATTTTCTTACTTATTGGTTATCATGTTTACTGCTATTACCTAGATGTATAAGGGGTGGCTCCTGTTTGGCGGGTTTCGATCTCTGTACTATTAAGTTACTCCTGTAAGTTACCCTGGGGGCTCTGCTTGTCTTATATAAAAGACCTTCGCCTTTGGCTGTTGTCTGACTGTTTAAGTTTCCTCTTGGTCTTTCTAGCTAGCTAGCGTAGGACTTTGTGTAATGATATAGATCATTTTCTTAGGCAGGCTGTTCTAACTAGTATTGCATATACCTACCATGTTCTTAATGCTTCGGCTTATGAGTTCCCCTTTTGCTTTTGCTTCTTTTACTCCTCGTAGCTGCCTGGCATACCGTGACTTTTATTATCTCTCATGATCCTCCCCTGCCTTGTCTGTGAGTCAGGTTCAAAGCTGTTCCCCTCTGGCGTTGATGCCTTATTTGGTTACTGGGGAACTACCCAGATGTAAAGCTAGCAACTGCCTCCGTACTGATACATGGCAGGTGTTCAGCCAGCCAATGACAGTTTACATATAGAGTTACTGCAAATGCCACGTCATTTCCGAGACAGTCATTTATACCTACGTAAAGGGTGCTTCCACCCTTAACTGTCACGTTTGTGCTAGTACGTGATAGTTAATGCGGCAGCAACAACAACAACGAAAACAGCAATAGCAACAGCAACAGCAACGGTGACAGCTACCTGCCCACATAAGGTAGGTAGGTACGTTTCGTCTTTTCGAGTTCTCTTTACTACCTCTTACCTTAGGTACCTACCTAAGATACTTCTATTCACCATTCATATCACAAATCTTAACAGTTCCTTAAATCTACTTTTACTTTTACTTTTTTTCTTCTTCTTTTTTTTCCCCTTCTTGATACCACGGATTTATCAAATCAACTCGTCACGATTTCTGGGACCATTTATTTCTAAATCCGATATATCTTGAAAACGTGCCACTTCAAATACTTGGGGAAAGTTGTGTGTGTGTTCTACTAACATAACACAAGGTACCTCCTAGGTGCTTTGCTTTCCCTTAGGCTATCTCCTAGGTAGGAGGTACTGTACCTGAGGTAGGTACCTAGCCAGCAGCTCGGGCAGCTTAGCGGCTAGCCACGTATAGGTTAGGTACGCGCTAAAATGGTCATAGATTCCAGCTGTTTTTAGGGATCAGAAGCACTAAAGCCACAGTGCATTTTATAGCGGTGCCACAGCGGAAGTTAGTTTACCCCCCTGCCCAACCGGGGGACCCTGCCAAGCCGCGCTCGGCCGCGGTAAGCGTGGTAAGCGTGGTAGCTTGGTACCTACCACCTACCTAAGCTTAGTAGGTAGGTACCTACCTAGGTACCTAAGGTAGCACGAGTTGCAGCACGGGTTTGCAGGGCACCTTTCCACCTATTGAGCTTCTTGAGCCTCGTCGCACGGCTGTCGTTACACCCTCGTTTCTAATAATTGCCTTGACAGGAAACAAAGCTTCCTCATGGCCAAGGACAATTACCTTGGTGAGATCTTAGCATTTACCGCGTAGTTATTGGAAGCCAGCATGTTCGAACTTTTCTTTTCTTTTATTTAAGTGTCACTAATTATGGATTTCGTTACTCTTCAGGTTGTTCGCGAGGGAAATTGTCGCCGATGAGCGCGCAAGCACCGAATTCACATATACTAGAATCCAACCTTGAAGATCCCCAAATACAACAACTGCGACAGCCCCCGTCATCCCGACCCAAGGAAACATCGAAGGCGACTAAGAAAAAGAAGAAGAATAAGAAAAGAAAGAAGCTCACCCTAACTTCCACCCGAAAGAAAAGCCAAAATAAACGCGAAGGCGAAAACGACTGGTTCGAGATCCAGGATATCATTGACGAGAAGCTCGAGCGAGGGAAGCTATATTACTTGGTGGATTGGAAGGGCACAGATGAGACTGGGAAACCTCACGAACCGTCCTGGGTAGGTTATTATGCTTGTTTATGCGCTGCGCTGCGCTCTTCGTATATTTTAGGTACATTTCCCCTTTGTTAGTATAAAAGCTAAACTCGCATAGGTCCCTAAACAAAACTTAACATCTCTTGCGATACAAGAGTGGGAGGTCAGAAAAGCTACGTCTAAGCCAACTAAGGATAAAGCTGATGTAGCTGTTGGCGACTCTCATCACTCCATGTCAGAATTTGATACTCGTCAGCGTGATCCTGTTTCAACATCTAGCCGGGATAATCAAGGTTATACCAAGAAGCGCCCGTTGGAAAATCAATCCTCATATGACTCTAAGTTAGGCGAGGGACCTCCATCAAAGCTGCCGAAACTGCGACTAGCAGAAACCCCGTCGGCACTTCATAAGAGCGCCGGTCGTGATCTTGAACTTTCTAAGGGACCAGTAGCTGAGCCAAAGCCTTATAAGAGTCGCATATTAATACAGCTGCCTCGGAATCCACCGTTTCCCGCAGATCAATACATGCCCGTACCAACCGATTCGCAGCAAACGGCTAGCCAGTCTTCCCAGTCTGCTGATGCCCAGGCTGTACTAGTTCACGAATCCGAGACTGACAGTCAAGACCAAAGGACTGTGCCCGATTCTCAGGAAATACACAGCGCATTGATCTCGGATGTGCATAGCAGCATCCCTGACAACTTAAGTTTATTTGGCGCGAGTCAACCTCGGGGACAAGCCATTGTCGCATCTCAGCAAGGTGGAAGACCCCAAGACACAGAGGTGCTCGGTCATTCAACAGAAATTCCTTCGCGTCAGCCGGACCGCCCTAACGTTGGAAACCTGGGTAACGTGTCAACTTCAACTTTTCTGATTGGGACTGTTGTGGGTTCAACTGCATCCGAACATTCTCAGGGTACTATTGGTAGAGAAAATCCTCGGTTTATGACACAGGAGCGCCTCGACGTTGACGCTGTTCCTCCAACATCCCAGCCAACTAGTTTTGCATCTACCCAACCTCACGAGTTTGCTTGGGACGAGCATATTTCTACGACGGGCGCTAGCCAAGATCATAATCAAGAACATTTGATAGGTAATAATTCGCAGGCTGCTCAGGTTGTGCAGCCTCTCAACAGCCAACAGGGAGGGCTTGCGACATTCACTGACGCGACATTTACTGTTTACAACGATTCTGTTGTGCACGACCCTGTACGAAGAAACGCGCAGGACGAACACAACCCGCAAAATTCGAACCAGGCCTTGAGCGAATTGGACGGTAACACTAGGAATACATCGTTCTCAGAAGAGCATCAGTCTGTATTAGAACCTGAGCTGAGTCGTGGAAACCTTCTGCAGGGCCCTCAGGAGAAAGAGGTAGATTTTGAAGTAGAAGTACATACTACCCAACCCACATCACGACAATCAGCTGCATCTAGAAACATGGATTCCAACCAGGCTCCGCGATTATCGGCCCGCGAGAGGCTTAGAATCGTTCGAGAACGCGAACTTGCAGCCCTTAATAGCCTCCCGAGCTTTTGGGAAATGAGCCAGGCTGGTGCTAGTTCAGAGAACGCTGGCACAACCTCTGCCTCTGCGGCAGAACCACTGGCAGAAGTCCACGAACCACAGGTCATACAAGCTCCTGCTTCGCGAGATATAAGTCCTCTGACCCCAGTAAACCTGGCACCTCAATCTTTCTTGGTTCCGCCTCTGGAGCCGGTTGCCAATGAGACGTCTCCCGATGAGCATCCGTTACCAGTACCTGAAACTACTGAAGCACCTCCTGAGCAAGAAAGAGAGGTCGAGCCAGTATTAGAGGAGCACGGCCATATTGAAACGGGTTATAGTACCCACGAGGAAGAGCAACCGGCAACTTTGGATCCATCAGCTTTGACGTTATCTATTGAGCATGATATGGACGTTGGCCCGCCGATGCCAGTACACGATGACCTCCACACTAACCTGCAAATACCCGATGAGTTTGCTCTGCCACATGAAGAAGAAAATCATACGCCTCCCGACTATCCGAGGAGCCTTCTTCCATACATACCTACGGGACCTAACGAGTATCTTGTTACACTCCCATTTTATAACAGCTGCCGTCCTGTATATAATGATGTCCTACGCGACAATGAGGAACTAATCCGGGAGTACAACGCATCGTTTCGTGTTTATCCTCACCGAATACCACATCCTGCGGTACTGTCGAAAATCAACGAGATGTTCTCTAGGCTTTTCGACATCTGCGATCTACCACCTTTCATGGAAACTACGACAACTATGACACCCGCAGAGATAACGAAACACGTCGTAAATACAAATGCGAAATTTGCATTTGTGGCCGAGCTGCTTGTTTACCTGGCTGATGAGAATTCGGACAAGAAGATTCTCATTCTGTCTCGTCCAGGAAAGGTCATGGATTTCCTTGGTAACCTTGTGGAAACAAGAGGTTACCGTTATATCCGATCCGGCTTGGAGATTGTCGGCCCTTCGAGCGCTGAGCATAGCCTGACCGTTGCCGTTTCGTCCACCCTTGACAACTCCTCATCAATACCTGAGGACATCGACGTAGTTATAGCATTTGACCACACATATCGACCTAAAGTGCTACCACGAAGGGTCCGGGAGCACGCTATGCTGATGGTGCTAACGAATATATGTTCCATTCAACACCTGAACATGCGCATCTCGGAGAATATAGAACCGTTAGAACGAAAGAATGTTCTTGTCCTCGCGCTAGTTAGAGCGATGCGGTACATAGAGGATGTCGACAATTCTTTGATAGTTAGATTCAATTTGGCGGCTGAGACTTTTTGCAAATACATACAAGATCCAGACGACGACGATTTCTACTGGGAGCCTTACGAAGTGCCAGAGGACGTTTTTGAGGATCTGCACGATGCTAGCACTCAATCGCAAATGTCTCAAACGTCGCAGCCCGGTTTAGAAGCTCCCGGACCCGACCAGCATCCTGGTAGTCGCAAGAGGTCTCACGAGGTAAAAGAACCTACGGCGGTCTACCGTATTCGCAAATACTGACTTATTCAATAGGGCGAAGATGATACCGACATTTCCTCCAAGCGACCGAGGGTGTCGCAACCTACAGTGGTCACTCACGTGAGTCATATTAGCGACTCGCTGAAGGGTCTTATAGGAGATGACCCGGTGGATGAGCCGTTAAAGGCAACGCTCTCAGTTTCAGTTGGTAAATTAGAGAATCTTTCCGCTAAGGTAAAGTTTTATTATGTTAATCAATGTTCTCATGGATTTCGGGCTAATTCGGAGCAGGTCACAAGCCTCGAAACCAAGCTACGAGAGAGCCGAGAGCGAGAAAAGATTTTCCGCCGGCTTAGCGATCGATCGAAGAAAGAGGTCGACGATTATGCATCCACCGTAAATTTGATGCAAGAGAAGTATATGGCTGCCTTAAAGGACCGTGGGACTTATGAAGACCAGTACTATAAGGCAAAGGAGGAAGCTCTAGCAGCTAGTGCAAGTCTCGAATCTAAAAAAAGAGAACACAACGAGCTAAAGGAAAAGTATGCGGAGCAGCAAAAACGGTTGTCGGCGGCGCATGAGTCACTTCTCGAATCTGCAAACCCGGAAGTTGTCAAGATAACAAGACTAGAGAAGGAGCTTGAAGAGTTTAAATCTAAGGCGCAAACCTTTGAAAAGAAGGTTACATTGACCAATAACGAACTGGAATACGCCAAGAATGCCTACCAGGACGCTTCTCAAAGAGCTGCTGAGCTTCAGACGGAGAACCGCGCGCTCGAACGGCGGGTTGAAGAACTCAACCGCAAGGCCAACGAAAACATGGTCAAGGTGAACCAGATCCACGCCGAGAGCGAGAGCAGGGAGCTTCTGCGGCTGCTCAACGAGCAGAAGGTCATCGTTCGCGACCGGGATATGGAGCTCAACCGACTCCGGGACGAGCTGCGCATGCTGAGGGAAAGCCGAAGGGGCACGAGACAGAGTAGCGTTCCTCGAAGTCCACGGCTGAGCGCTTTCGGCGTGAACAGCCCCCGGAACGGCGGCCGGGCCAAGGGTAGCTCCAGCAGTCGCGGCACCAGTCCTGCCCCGGCGACGGGGATTTTCGAGGCAGGAGGGGGAGCCGGTACACCAGTTCATAATAATCGGGCCTCGCATCTACGGGAATCTCGGTTCTGATTAAGGGGGTTAGGGCGAAAGGGTCAAAAAGAGGGGTTTGCGTTTGCAATTGCATTTGCAGCAGAAGTTCACGAAGAGGTTCTTCGTACCAAATAATATCAATCCAGTTATCAATCGATCAATCAATTAACGTCTTATTATTGTTATCAAATCACTTATACCGGTACATTGCGAATTTCATCACGATTGAGTTTCCTTACGATACCTTAGGTACATACCGAAAACCTTATCGCCGCAGTGGAATGAGTAAAAAAGGGGCAAAGGGAGTCTATTCTCACCTCCTTTCTTTTTCTTTGTCTCTCTCTCCGGGACTTTTCGATCTTGCGCCCTATAAATAGTAGGGCCCTTCGACGCGTCTGTGTTTGTTTGTACTCAAGATTACGTTCAGGGTGGAAGGCATTTTACCTCCCCCCCCCCCCTTTTTTTTTTCCCGGTTTCTTGTTCGCTGCCTTAGGTACCTAGATAGAAAGATTTCCAAGCCTACATATACCTACCTAGGTAGGTAGGTAGTCTAGTGATATATCCTACTAGGATTGTTGTTATTGCTGTTGCTTGCTTCCTTGCCTGCTGGTTATTTATTATTGCTACCGCTGCTACCTACTACTGGTGCTAATTTATATAATAATAAACGAAGAAGGGGTGGATAGGAGGAAGAAGAAGCGGACAAAAGAAAAGAGAGAGGGAAGGAAGCAGAGGAAAGGAAATGATGTACCTTAGGAAGTTTATTTTACAGAGAACACGCGGTGAATTCGATATCCTTTACGTGGATTACATCACATTATCTTCTTACCTGTCGTTCGACGAGAACTTAACCCCCGGTCCATGACTTTTTTTTTTGGTTCATGAATTAAATCCGTATAGATTAGGCAACCTACGCGCTGCGCTATACCACGAAGTTGGCGAGATTGGGTTCAATGAATTTACGACGTTACAGACTTAGGTACCAATTGGGATTATCCATCCAATACGTACCTTATTTACCTACCTTACTCACCATTCTCATCCTATAGATTACCGCCTTTGCCTAAGCTTAACTCGCATATCTCTCTCTACCTTCCTCCTCTCCCCTCCTTTCCCCTTCCCCCTCCTCCTTCTTGTCATTTCCCCCCTACAAACCAACCAACCGGCCGAAAAAAATGCATTTTGATAGGAGGCATGTATGTATGTCCCCAAGGTAGACAGACGCAAAGACTTACCCGCATTGCTTTTCACATCTTACGATTCAATCTTCCTGTGGTGTGACCGAACCAAACCAAACCAAACCGAACCGAACCGAGCCCAACCCAATCGCTCACATCAGCGGCGTCGGGTTACGATTCATCATCATCATCATCGCATACCTCCTCCCCTTCTCCCCGTCCTCTGAGACAGTTTTCTTAATACTAGGTACCTTAGGTACCTAACCTAGCCTTAGGTGTGTATGTATATCTTAGGAAAGGGAAAGATTACGGAACATTAAGTTCATTTCAGTTCAGTTAAGTCGGTGATAGGGAAAGATGTGGCGACTTTATTTATATAGGTGGACGGATATCACAAGTCGCATCTCGCCTCATTCTTATACTGTAGCCAATAAATCAAAGCTCACAGGAAAAAAAAAGCAATCATCCTTCTGCAATGCTTCATCTTTTCTCTTAACTACTTTTCTTCTTCTCTTAGCCCCGAGAGAGACAAGGGGGTGTGTTTTTTTCGGTATCTAATTTCGTCGTTTTGAGGAATAGTATAGTAGTGTTGTTGTAAGTGGTAAGTGGTAAAAAGGTAGTAAGTAGTGGTAGTAGTAGTAGTAGTAGTAGTAGTAGTAGACATATACACATGCAGGCGAGGGAAAAAAAAAAACCAGATCCGAGACACAATATGATGATCTTTTCATGCTGGACCAGTTCTCTCTCTTGTTCTCTCCTCACCTTTCATCTCATCTTCACTTCGTCTCCTTGCTTTCCTCCAAGCTTAGCTTTCCCTGCTATACACCGATGCATCTTTTTTTCTTTTAAATGTCTTCATTTCTATGTGTTGCCCAGTCTCGCCCTTACCGTTCCTACTAGTGAAAGTGAAGAGGGGGGTTCGTAGCGAGATCAGAAGGGTCAAGTCACGTCTATTTGGACTGCTCGGGGTACAGGTCCTCCTTTAGGACGACGCCGAGTTCTTCGCGCAGGGGCTTCAGCTCGTCGAGGTACTGTTGGTACTGGTCCTTGTTCTCGACCTTGGCCTTGATGCCCTCGAAGATGCGCACGGCGGTGGGGAAGTCGTTAACTCTTCGGGCGGCGCGGAGAGCAGCCTCGACGACGGAGGGGGAGGGGACGAGATCGTAGGCGAAGGCGTTGTTCAGGTTGCGCTGTTGGTAATATTTATGTTAGTTTAGTCGTCTTTTGGCACAGTTTTTGTCCAAAATTGGTGCTCGTGATATGTTGGATATGTTGGATATGCTGACGTCGTGTCGTGATGGGGAGGGTTCATCAAGTCAAAGCCAAAGCCAACGCCAAAAAAAGGTGTGGGGTTGATGTTGACGTTAGTGGGTCAACCCAAAGTTGAAGAAGTGTCCGAGGTAAAGACGAAAGCTGGATGGGAGAACGGAAGCGAAAGCTAAAGCTGTATGACTCGAAATCGACGAACCTGGAGCTCGAAAACATCCTGCACCTTCTCAAATTCACCTTCGTATCTATTCGGAGGAAGCTTTAGTTAGCTATCGAGTTCTTAATTTTGGTCTGAATTTGTTGTTATCTCATCAGGTCGCTTAATGACCAATTGAGCGATATTCAAGCTCCCACAACCCCATCTCCATAACCAATTGAACGTCATAGATGCTTTACCATGTCGCCAATTAACCTCAATTGGTTTTTGAGATAGAGCTTGCTTCGATTGCCTTTTTTTTTATTTTTATTTTTTTCATTCTTTTCCCTTTTCTATATGAGGTAGACTAAATCGGATTGGCCCGAGTGGCCGCGATTCAACAAAAAAAGAATGAGGTCCTTACCTAGCGGTAAATTCCTCAAAAGTCTCCTCGTGATGCGCAGCTGAGTTTCGGGACACGGTGGTGCTGAAGTTGAGGCTCGAGCCGGCAATCAAACCCGGGACGAAGGACGCGGTGGCCCGAGTGGGAGCGACGGGTCGGTTTGCGCGGAAGAAAGTCCTAGAGGTACCCCGCGAGGCGATTCGGAGGAGCGACATCGAAGACATATTTTTCTGTGGTATTAGATGACACCGTGGGGAGGGAAACAAAAAGAGAGAGAAATAAAAAAAAGTGAGTGGAGATTGGATAGCGACTTGGTTCAGGTGCGACGGAGCGGAGGAAATAAATTAATGGAGGTGCGTTGTGTGTCGAGTGGTTTGTATAATATTTTTTTTTTTTTGGTCGGTTTAAGCAGAAAAATGAAAATAAGAGGAGATGAGTTGCGAGATGGGATAACGCACATCGAATGATGGGGGAGAAATGGAAGCCCGGCTCACAAAAAGATGGGTTTTAATTGGTTAGTTGGCCAATCGGGGTGGGGGGCTGGGAAAGCTCAGGGAACCTGTTACGGGCACAGCAATTGCAAGTGAGCTCACTTTTGCAACTAAACTGGCTTAGTTAGCTGCCAACTTAAGCATGATTAGCCCGAAAGCCGGGGAGCTCCTCGCGATTACCATAGTAAAACCTTTTAAAGTTTGAACAGATAACATGGAACTTTTACTGCACTCATAGGGCGGATCGGCCCAAGGCAGCGCAGCAGCAGCAGCAGCGGCAGGTTGGGTTTCGACGTCATTGTGTTTCCATTGGTCAAATATTAATATTATAAATAAATGCTACCTAACTTCTCTGCTCTACGGTATTATCATTTACCTTCTTACCTAGGTTAAGTAGGTACTTACCTGTTTCATGGCCCTAGAAGAATAATATAGTCACTAGTTCTTACAGGTAGCTTAATGGGATTCTAAATCCCATTATCGCGATTTACCTACCTCAGGTATTATCAGCATTAACGAAACCCATGCTGCCAGATAACGGTGTTCTCGATTTCTCCCGAGGTGCGGACCACTTACAGAGTAACACTCATTACATATAAGAAGCTTGATTGGTTCACATAGGTAATAGAAGACTTTTCTTGCATGTTAGGTATCTTTATAATTACTTTGTACCCAGGGACCCAATTGTTACATACCAGGTAGGTATACTTCCAAGAGAATCCTGTCGATGTAATTTATTTTAATTTTATTTCATTTAGTTATGTTTCGTTGAATCGTGTTGCGACTGTTATAACTTATAATAGGTCAAATGCCTTGATTAGTATGTCGTCATCCAACCCAGAGTTAGATACTTTTATCCAAGTCTTCATGTGTATCTTAGTACATGCACGACATGCTGCTCTCCACTCAATATAACAAACACTTTTGCTGCAGAATATTTCAAGGTTACCTACTAGCTACTAGGACCTGTATTAATTAATATAGATTCAAGAAGTTCAGTTTCATATCTCAAGTTCGAAGATACATGTATGTATGTCTTACTAGCCACCGTTCAGCCACAAGCCCGAAGCCTCGGGTCAATTTCTGTACACTCCGTATTATTAGTCCCCCACGCTAAAATGCATACTAACCACAAGCCCCTTATGCCAGCAGCAGCAGCAGTCTTGTCCGTTGCATCGTTCATTATTTTGTTGACATTATATTATGGAGTCAAGCGCGGTTTTCGCAACTTGCACGGGAATCCCGAATTACGTGTCTACAAATAATCCTCATAACGGAAAACGACCGCAGTACCCATATTTCGAAATTGGCCGAGGTTGTGGCATTGGTAACTCGATCGATTATCTTACCTTACCTTACCTACACCGCAAACGAGGTAAAGTTGTGCTGGCCGGGCTGGTATTATATTGTGCAAAACTTTATAAATGTTCACCTGAAACTTGACAGATTGGAGATTGGAGATTGGAGACCGTAGCGCATGTACCAGAAAGATCTCAACGAACCTTTCGTGTCAATTTCTGGTTCTAAACTTCTTTTATGCGCGACAACCCCAGATACGATAATAGGTAATAAGAAAGAAGAATAAAAAAAGTAGAATAATAATAGCATTGACAGTTGAAATTGACAGCTCTCGTCATGTACAAGGTAGGCTTCATTTCAACAAAAGCATTAGGCACATTAAGCATATGCAGGTACAAACATTTCGGAGACCTGTCATGGTAGAAAGTCAAAAGTACCTGCCATGTAGTTGGTTAAACCTTATGGGCGTGTAATGGGCGGTAATAGGCGGTAACGCGCGGAGAATTTGCTGCGTTTAAAAAGCACGTGTCAGGCATAGGTACTTGCGCAGTACGGTTTAGCAGCCTTATTCAAAAAGACGGTCTCCGAGGGTCCCGCCAATCCGATCGGTACATCCATATGGAACCAGTCTAATCACTCAATTAGCCAATCAGAGTTCAACTAAGTCGCGTCCCCTATTGCTGGCGTGGAGTTTTAATGAGGAACCGAATTCCGTCTTTCTCAACTTTTTTTTTTTCTATATTCACGATTTCTCCCAATCGTGGACTTTTTTTTCACAAGTCCCAATCTTCTCTTTTCCTTTTCTCCCTCTCCTTCTTTTTTTTCTTCTTCGTACCCTAGCCGGCGAGTCCATCGTAGGTTTGTAATAACTTCAAGTCACTCCTTCAAACAAAGTAGTCTCGTACTGCTCGAGCTGCTTGTCGCGAATAGCCTTGCTAGTTCTTATTTCCCTCAAACGTCGAGCGCAAATAATACACTACGCGCCTTCGAGTACATACACTTGACTCGACTCGTGTCTAATATACACTATTCTACACCATGGCTTCCCCGGCCCCCGCCGCTATCTGGGAATCTCTTCCCGTCCCGACCGTCGATCGACCTTTTGGCATACAATTATGGCCTTACTTCAACAAAGCTTTCGAAGTAGTTGCGGGCTATCCTGCCGACGACTTTCGGTTCGTGGCCGGCAAGACGCCAATGTCTACTCTGAAGGAGACATTGACCTTTATTGTCATATACTACCTAATCATCTTCGGTGGTCGCGAGTTTATGCGCAACAGGGAGCCCTTAAAACTGAAGGCTATCTTTTTGATCCACAACTTTTACCTTACCGCTATTAGCGGAATACTTCTGGCGCTGTTCATCGAGCAATTGCTACCAACCATCGTTCGCTATGGGCTTTTCTTTACCATCTGCGATAAAGACGGCGGTTGGACGCAGCCTCTGGTCGTCCTCTACTATGTAAGTTTTCGTTCGACCGCTCCCTTTGAGCAGGAAGAGGAAATGCTAACCCGATTTAGCTGAACTACCTCACCAAGTACCTGGAACTTCTGGACACCGTCTTCCTCTTCCTAAAGAAGAAGCCCCTGAGTAAGCATAAATCACGAACCGATTTGGAGGATTAACATTTTTTAACGTATAATACAGCCTTCCTACACTGCTACCACCACGGCGCTACTGCATTCCTCTGCTACACTCAGCTTCTCGGTTCCACCGCCGTTTCGTGGGTTGTTATTACCTTGAACCTGACTGTCCACGTCGTTATGTACTGGTACTACTTCCAGAGTGCTCGCGGAATCCGTATCTGGTGGAAGGAATGGATTACCCGTCTACAGATCATCCAATTCATTATCGATCTCGGTATGTCAGAACCTTCGGGTGTCATATTTTTTCAGGGGGAGCGTAATACTAACTCATATTAGGATTTGTCTACTTCGCTTCGTACACATACTTCACGTCTACTTACTTCCCGAGCCTGCCGAGCGCAGGCAAGTGCGCAGGAGAGGAGTTTGCCGCCTTCGCTGGTATTGGCACTTTGACCTCTTACCTGGTTCTATTCATCTCTTTCTACTTCGCTACGTACAAGAAGGACCACAAGGCGCCTAGCACTCGCAAGACCCTTCGCCGTATGTCTCAGGCTCCTCTTCCGGACCACCACACCGTTGCACATGCGGCGAAAATACCGCAAGCCAAGACCACGGGGGTTAAGACCAACGGAGTCGCAACTCGATCCCGAAAGGCTTAAGCGCACGAGCTTGGTGTTAGAAGTCCAGATAGATGGCCCGTAGTTAAAGATATTTGGATCGCCATTTCAACATAGAAAGATTTTTGTATTCCGATATTCACGATGGACTCGAATGCTGGGGTTGTTATCTCTTCTACGGCCGTGGGAGCATTGTATTAATGGGTTGGTCATTGACGACGATATATTACAAAAGAGGCTATGATGGGATTACTGGATGGGGAGGGAGATGAAATAGTAATATGGTTGTACAACTATAGGAGTTTTCGTTAAATTTGGAGTTTACGGACGGTCGGGTGATGGCAAAAAAGCATCTGAGGATTTTGGGACAGCATGGAAGGACGACGTCGGCTACCATGTCCACAACCTCAACGTTTTGTACCCTTTCGTATCGCATAAATCCGGGTCGGCGCTTACAAAGTCGAATAAAGAGAAGACGAGAACAATATGCATAATAGCAGTTAATACGATTGATAATACACTAAAGTCGCTACGGGTTTTAGGTCTTGTTTGTTGTGAGAATAATGAATGACATTGGGTCTATGGGGAAATAGCTCTTAGATAAGGAGTATTCTATCCTTGGAAGTTAGACATGCGGAAAGAGAAGAGTTAATGTCAAGTAGTTGGTCTCAGTTGGATACCCCTTGGCCACTCAACTAGTCGACAGGTAAGACTATGGGAAATATTAACGTATACGAATCTTCGAAACCACCAAGTGTGGCTCGATACGTAACGTCGATTCACCTCTGGCGCATCTCGTTTACACCCAGCTACATACCCAGGTACCCGGTAATAGCATATAGGCTCATAGAGTCTAAGAGGTAGGCAGGCAACTATTTAAAGCCAGCCATGTCTCTGCCTCCTCCGACCGGAAATTCGGATACCCAGGTGGCTGAACGCCTGTGTACTACCTACGTACGTACCTGACTTACTCACTCTTGGAGTCTTCTCCTATTTCATGGATGGTTTGGAAGCTACTACGAAGTATATTGGCGTCATTAGGGGGTGGCGAGTTTTGAAGTAGCCGTATAGTATTGTACCTCTTACATAAGCTTCTAACTTCGATTGGTTGGATCTCTTGTATGTAGGTTGTACTATTCTTAGGGGGGCATGTTCTAGGTCTATCTAACCTAGGGCTTTTTTGAAGCTTTGATCTGTTGGTTCGAGTGGGACATCTCGCACTTGAGGACCATATACTGACTGCATATATGAGGTACTATTTATTCCTAAGTATGGGCCGCTCCCAAACTTGAGTTATTAGTAGAAATCGGGAGGCTCGCCAAATTCTATTCCAAAAGTTTTGAAGTAGTTAGGGATTAATGACCACCAGGCTTTAGCATCATTGTCCGTTTTACTAGATAAGTTATACTTGAAGATAAAATACCTAGCTAGAAGTAACTATTCAAACAACAAGACAACAGGTAGGCAAAGTTACCTAAGGTATATCACAATCTTCATGGAGGGTTGGCGTATATAGTTGCCACTACTTTCTCGTTATTTTTTACGGTTTTACTTGTGGCGATTTTAAATCCATCCTAGCTATGGTGATGGTGATGATGATGAGAATCTAGGATAACCTTACAACGTTGCTCCCGAAGCTACATCTATTGGGCATGAGACGTCCAAAGTGCTTCCTTCGACCCACGTCTCCCAAAGAAGAATCCGACGAAGAGTTCAACCTCAGGAGTACAGAATGCCGGCTCTGGTACGGGATCCTGCACGCGGCGAAGCGCAGCCCCTGGTCCGACACCGCGCAGCGCGAACGTCGTCTGGTATCTCTTGCGCAAACGATCAATGCGCGCCCCGATGCTCCACCTCCCCGGCAATAATGTGATGCAGGCGACAGTACATATCACGGCGGCGAGCGTGTGGCTCCGGATCGCGAGGCGGTATATGTGGGGTCTACGGACGGAAGGGGGAAGGGGTATCTCGTCTTGCACAAAATGTCATTGTAGATATACTGGAGATATAATACCAGTTATAACCGCGACGAGCTACTCCGAAATCATTATTTTCTGGTCTCCCCGGAAGTAGGTAAGTTATCAGGACATGCAAGTATAAGGGTGACAGGCGAGTCGTATAAGCACGTTGCTGAATAAGTCGCCAGTAACCGTGCATGTAAGGTAGCAATGTTGAGCTTGTTACTATCTACCTAGGTACACACTGTTAGATACCTACCTAGACGTTAAGTAGTTGCTATCGCCAAGGACTGTTATAGGACCGTGAGTACGGCTGCCGGACCCGAAGGGTTGGGTGCCGCTAACACGTAAAGTCCCGTTGATAAACTAGAGCATAATGGTATAGGGTTAGTCATGTTGAATGGAGACTACCTAAATGAATTATTAGAGAAGATTATCTAATTGATGTTATTGTATAGAGTGAAACCAGGTATGCAGCTTCCTGCAATCAAATATACTGTACTGTATTGTACTACCATCTTTTCAGGTAGCGTCGATCGCTACTATAATGCCACCAAAGTAATAGCAAAGACGCCACTTCCTCCCAAGCCAATGCCATTATGTCAGTATACCTACCAGGCACCTAAGGTAGATAAGTACCTAAGTAGTTGCAGGTACCTTTTTTCTTACCTGAATCAAGAAACGAAATGAAATGTCCGACCGAACAATGCGGTCGAGTAACGAAGGTGTCACTTATTATATGAGCTGTCTTAGCCTATCTACGAATCTATTCCGCTCGTCGGTAATCATCTACCATATGTCGCTAGTTGCAGAGCCGCTTGGCATACTCATTCCCCTTAGGAATTAGTTCTGTTGTGATATCAAACAACCTGTCAGCTTTGTTTTTATTTTTATTTTCATTCTTGTTGTGGCCGTCATTATACATTAACTCGTTACAACTAAGATACAGGGACCTGGCCCGTCGTGGGATTTGTACTATTTAATGTTAGGTACCTACCTAGGTTGCTAGTTGTCAGCAGAGAGAAGGATTTATCGAGCTTTCCACTCTACCGGGACACACAAAATAGGCTTCTTTGGGAACTCTACTACTATCAAGCCTCACCATCTCGGCTCGTCAGAATACCGCCGACTAGTTTATTATTCTCAGCGCAGCCAAACCGGCAGCCGGGCCTGTCGATCAGAATGCGTGAGTCGCCAGTCTCAGAACGCCACCATTGGAATCGGTTGGCTCTCCTCTCTCCCGCATGTCTCTAACAGGTTTATTGTACTCGTATCTGCTGCAAGGGTTGCTTGGTCCGATCCATATCACAAATACCACCCCGTCATGATATCATCAAGCGAAATTTGGATGTCCTACCCAGCATGCATTAGAAGAATTCGTGGCGCACAGAGCAGACGCGCTATTGGAAAAGCCGCCGATGTGAGCTGTCAGCCCAATATGAGAGTAGCATAATATAAACTGCCGTCCGTCCCGGTTGGGTCAGATCAACAAGAGAATTTCAGGTATCTGGCAAGGTCATCTCTTCATTCTTCAAGAATCATCACGTGCTATCTCTCACAATGGCAATCCGATCTCTTCTACAGCTGTGCCTTCTGAGCCCTCTCGTCTCTGTGGCTACCGCGAAGCCTATCGTAGGGAAGAGAGGCTTGTTTTCGGACACTCAGAAGCTCGCTGACCCGACCTACGGCCCAGTCCCCGGACAGGACCCTATCTTCACCACCTACTATGGCGTCGAGGCACCTTTCCCCGGAAACCTGAGGCATCCTGTCTTGCCCACCAAGGCCGGTCCGCCCGGAGAGGATGATGTTGTCTGGCAGAACTTGCTCTCCGCCGAATGGGTCATCTTCGACTTCTACCAGCAAGCTGTCGCCGCCTTCAACGAGACGGCTTTCATCGAAGCTGGCATGCCCAACACTACATACAAGCGCATCCAAGAAATTCGAAACAACGAAGCCGGTCATTTGCGCATCTTCCAGAACCAGATCTCTCCCACATCAGTCAAGCCTGGCGCGTGCGAGCACCAGTACCCCTTCTACGATCCCATCTCATTCTTAGCTCTCGTAACCGTTCTTGAGATCTCCAGCATGGCTTTCTTAACCGGATTGGTGCAGGATGCTAAGCTCTCTTCGTCGCAAGCCGCGATGCTTGCTATCGCCCAGACTGAAGCGCGCCACGAAGTATGGAGCTTGATCGAGATCTGGAAGACGAACCCCTTTGGCGGCCCGGCTGATACCGTGTTTCCCTATGCCAACCAGATTCTCGACACTACCAACGGTTTCATCGTGCCCGGTAGCTGCCCCTCGGAGAACCCCGTGTACCCGTCACCGCGCCAGGGTCTGCCCGCCCTGAGCGCCGCCAAAAACACCACGTCGCTGACGCCTGGTTCTAACATCGGTCTCGCATTCACTGACCCTACCAACCAACCTGAGTTCGACAGCGACAAGCAGTACTACGCCGTCTTCTTCCACGGCCTCGCGAACATCAGCGTTCCCATCGACACATCATACTGGCCCGAGCGAGACATCCGCGTCACCATTCCCGAGAAATTCGAGACTAGGGGTGTCATAGTCGCAGTCGTTGCTGACGCCCCCGGCGCTCCGGCCAAGGAGAACGTCGTGGCTGGACCTGGTATTATCCTCGAACAGCCGTCCGCGCTTGGCACGAAGCTGCTGTAAAATGTTACCAAAGGTGGTGCTGTATGAGTATGAGTACGAGTACATAAGTGTCACGAATTAGATTGTGGATTATGCCAACGTATACAAGCAGATGGGTTAGATGACTGGCTTTTAATCTATATTTTTAGTAATGTCAATGTTTAATAATATTCAGGTACAAACCACAATCTTTCACATACCCTAGGTACCTACCTAAGTTAAACTGATCATACCTACCCTGATGTTGAATCATAAAAACAACCATGTTTAGATCATCAGCCAAATAACTGGATATTGTTCCATAAAGCTTATTTTAATCTTATTAATAAAATAGTCATAAGTAGTTCTTCGTCGACATCGGACCGCTCATGTCGTTTTCCTGATGGACAACTACCAAGATGTAAAATCTTAACCTTTGCCGACGCCCCCGAATATCAGCCGCTTTCGACGGCGCTCGAGAATCTGTGGCCTCGCAGCCAGCACCTTGGCCTGTGAAGTTGGAATCGTGTTAGCTGAATGCGGTCTTTGATGAGCGGGAGAGCAGGTAGGTTAGGTAGGTAGGTAGATAGGTAGATAGGTTACATAGACGGATTAGGGAGGGTTGGAGAGATTTAAGGGGGAATGGGGATAGAGAAGAGAAGAGAAAAGGGGAGAAGGAGGAGAAGGAGGAGAAGGAAGGAAGTCTTACCGCACCAGATCATCCACAGCTGCTTGCACATCTTCCTGTCGGGGCCTGGCTTGTTGTCGCAGTTGTAAGGGGCGTTGTCGTCGTAGCATGTGTCGCAAGCCTTCTGCGTGCTGTCATTGGGACAGTGAACTTGGACGTCTTTGAACATGACGCCAACGCCGACGTCGGGGGAGATGGAAGGAATGGTTCCGGGTCTGGGTCTGGGTCCGAGGCCGGGGAGAGTGGTGGTGTTCATGGGTGTGGCGGTGATGGAGAGGGGGGGGGGATAGGAGGAGGGAGAAGTAGAGACGCATTTTGAATTACCTAGAGGGACGGTGATAGTAACGGTGGTGGTTTAGTTGTTTGGGGGGTAGGAATAGGAGATGGCTACCTAGGTAGGTAGACCGAGTCTGTGAGTATGAGAGAGGAGGGAAGACTTGGGTATCGAATCTATCGATGTAATATGATCTAGGGACCTAAGGTGAATTCCCAAAGACGATCCGACGGGGAGGGGGGAGAGGAGGGGCATACCATGTCTATGTAGCTGTTGGATACCTTAGGTACCTAGGTAAGGTAAGGTAAGGTAAGGTAAGGTATACCGCTTAACCTGTTTGGCTTTGATATACTTACCATCGCGATTACCACGGGAAGACTTGAGCGTGCTTCACTGTTTACTTGCGGGTATCACGAGGATAGCAGAAATGACAAACTTTATTCGGCAATGGGAGCGGTTAGCCGAGTAACTGTAGGTATAGGTTGTGTCGTGGTGTGGTGACTTCTAATTACCACTGCGAATGGCTGGTCAGAATAGACTCGCGATAGCTACTACAAACGCGCGACCGTTGATTCCGAAATTCTCTGGCACGGGTCATCAGAGGAGCTTCTCTTAAGGAGTGGTGTCGTCTAGGCCTCCTTTTCACAGGTGAAAGCGCGAATACTACAAGCGAGTGTACAGACTGGCTTATACAGCCTTGTCCATGGATGTCGGCACGATCTGGAAAGATATTAAATATTTCGCGCTAGAGCCACTGGCTCTCTAGGGCTAGAACCGTTGAATCTAAAATGCTGCTTCTGGTCATATACTGGCGTACCGGTAGTAGCACGAGCGTGCGGCTCTTGTTCACTTGTCAGACTTTGTGGCCGGGATGGGCATGGAGGAAACGGGCATCTTACTATTGTAGAAATATTACCTACGGGAAACTTTTCTTCTTTTTTTAAAAAAGGAGGAGAATGAAATAATGAACTCATACATTTCTAGCCGATTTGGATTATTAATACTATTGAACGTAGAATTTGACTTTGAGCAGAAATTCGGACGCGTTGTCGCGTTCAGAAAGCTTTGCAAACGCCCCTTTTTATTGTCGCTTGTGATACGTATAACGTATAAGCAGTCATGCCTCTACCACCTTTACACCAACAGACAACTAATACGATGAATAAACCAGGTGTCATTAATTCCTACTCTGATATGTATTAAAGCTAAACGAGAAAAAAAAGACCCTATGCTGTCACCGTCAATAGATAAACGAAGGCTATGATAGATCTACAACGTACCTAGGTACGTAAGTCCGAGTGATGCTTAGGGTAGATAGATAAAAAGAAAAGAAAGAGATAAAAAAAATTGTCTGTGAGTTGGCCACCCAGGGAATCGAACCCTGGGACCTAGCGATATTTCTAAGGATAATGTTAAGGATGATGCGCTAGTAGAGAAGGTTTTAGGTATGGCGGAGGAAAGCAACGCTGAGAGTAGAATATTTCGCTAGGCCGTACCAACTCAGCCATTTTTTTCCCTTCTGGTAATAACCCCCTATATTCTTTTGACTTATAAGGACTTGTTCGGGGTTGGGAATGGAGAAGGGGGGGTGGTGGCTTGGTAGAAGGTTCTCGCGGTCGTAGACGGCGTTGAACTCTGTTGAGCACAGGTGTCGGTGGCGGAACGTCAAAGCGTTGGTGTAAAGAGAGGGGAGAGTCTCGGGGAACGGAGTAGTAAGCGGTAAGGCACGGGCTCTCCTATTGCAAGTGTTAAATTATAAGAGTTGCCATTCTGTGGGAGAGGGGTGTCTACCTTAGATTATGCCATGTAGAACATGGTGCAATGGTAATACTTGAAAGGTCAATTTAACGAAGCTGGACTCCTATGAGTATTGCTCTATAAAAGCGATAAAGCTAATGAGATGGAGTTTTGGACGCTTTAGATGAAGAACCCAATAATAACAGGTTATCTGGTAAAGCCATCGTGACGGCACCGGCACCGGCACCGGTCCCGGAATCCGGCGTACCCACAAACTGGAAGTTCATTAAGCGAGCCCGTCCTTCCGGCCCGCTCCCGAATCGCGTGATCCCGATACCTTACCCAAACAACGGTCATTACCCAAACCGGGTACCTGACCTGATCTATCCAAAAACAATAATAATACTACCAGGTAGTGAGCAACTAGATCGACCCTGCAATCTTGTCTCCGTAGCCACGTGCCCGAAAAAAAATTCCCTCCAGCAGCAGATCGTATTCCAATCACGCTGAAACGCGCAGGGGAGGGGGGGGAAAAGGCGAAACGACCAGCCCCAGGGCATGGGAAAGGCCCCTAAGCCGGGATTCGCAGATACCATACCCACCGTCGTCTGTGCGTTACCACGAGCAACGGCAAAGACGACATCACATATGTACCTTAGGTACATAGTATAGGTAGTGGACGTATTCTTTTTCTTCGTCTCGAGTTTCAGATCGTACCCTTTTTGCTTTTGCGCCCATGGTGCTGGGAGGATCCATCACAGTCACATCGCATCCATTGTACGGATTACGTTTTTTTAAGATCCCTACCTACCTGCTCGCAGCGTACGTGACGTGACGTGACGTAACCCAACGGAACGGGATGGGGAATGGATAGGACATATACTCTTTTTTTGTTTCTTCTGCCTCGCCGCATGAAGAAGATACGACAGCTCTGATACCGGGATGCTCGCGGGGCGGGCGGCCTGGTGCAGATCAGATATCAGGTAGGTTCGGTTACCGTCTATGCGGCCGCCATCATATGTCAGGTATTATACCTTAGGTATGTTTGGATATCGGAAGCTACGGCCTCTCCCTCGCTTCTTTAGTACAGTTGGTCCCATTTAATAAATGAGTGGACGGAATCTCGTGTTGAAGTAATCAGTTAATGGGGACCGGACGTTACGAGTTAAGAGGGAGGTAATCTAATAAGGAGGTAGCTTAGCTTGGCTTGGCTTATCCCAAGCCGTATACAGACAGGTATGCGCCCGCCATATCTAAGCGCCTCGATCGATGCTCCTCGTGCGAACCAACGGCCACAGGCAACACTTAGATAGATAGATAGATATATGGATAGATGGGTAGAGATGGCGGCGGCAAGTTGGAACAGAATTTGCGTTTCGATGGGCAGCACGGCAGAAACCCCTCTCACCCCTCTATTGCAACATTTGCTTTCGAGCTTTCGATCTCGACCCAGGCCGATTAGCGACCCGCCAGAGTGGGAGGGGCGTTTTTTTCTATTCCTTTTTTTTTTCTGGGGAATTACTATGTACCTAGCTACCTGGTATGTACGTACATGCAAGGTAACATGTCGTTCCCGAGGTCATGTCGTTATCCACCTGGCAAGAATTAAGCTTCTGGGCTTTGCTTGTTTGATATTCCTCGGGACCTTGTTTCATCGAGGCGGGCCTGGCGGGGAAGGGAAAGGGTCCAGCTGCTCGGAGCAACGATCTGCTTGCGTGCGTGCTTGCTTGCTTCAAGTTTAAGATATGATGCCTCTATACAGTTAAACCTTAATTCTTTTTTCTTCTTCTTTTTTTCTCTTTAATAACCCCTGTCCGCGTTCCGCTATGGAGGGGTTTTCAACATCGGCCGGTTGGTTGGTTTCCTCCTACCTTGTCATCTATAGTATATTATACCGTGCCGTGTTATAATATATGTGAGAAGCAGGAAACGATACTACTATACTGCATGCGATTAAGGCCATGCGTAGATAATTGGTCCGGATGTTAAAGATCTTTAAAACCCGATTTTTTTTTACTGGAGCGAACCGAGTGGTTGGCGGTCTGGCGATTGATCGCGCATCCGGCTTTTACAGGAGGTACTGTATGTACCTATGCGATGTCTTATTTAAAGTCAGTGCTTGCAGTTCCGAACAAACTAAACCACCATAGATAGTATATATGGTACCTAGACCCCAATGCGATGGTTACTCTTCTTCTTCATGCGGTTTCTGCGGGCGTCTAAGGCAATTTCTTGCACTCGTGATTCGCTTGTAGGAGATGGGGGCAAACGCTTGCGCTGGGGTTGCATGATACATATAATATATAATATATACGTGCGCTACAAATAGGTAACATAATTTACGATATCTTAGGTAAGGTATATATCTGGGTTATGGGTTGTATATAGGAGAATTCTGTCCTTACCCCTTACTTTGTTTTTCCTCCTTAGTCTGGCTGTCGTATCATGTATGTACAAAGCACGGCATCAGCAGCAGCAACGGTGGCGTATATCTCGTACCTACTTGCAGTGATGTTGTGTAACTTGAGAGAGTCTGTTTGCTGTTGGCAGCCCCCTAAGTATTGGTTAGTTCGCTGCGCCATCTGGCCGCTGGCCGGCCGGCCAACCGAATAGTTAAACTGCGAGCAAAATCTACAGAGGTATGTATGTTGATATATGCAGTTAGGTATTATATAAGTCTGCATGGCCTCAACGGCCGTAACGGTCTTTACATGTTATGTAGTGATTGATACGCCTCGATATATCCGCATCCAAGAATAACGCAACGTACATACATACAGTATTCTCACTGGCAGCAAAGTCGCGATCCTCAGTGATCGAATCAGCGGCGATTTAGGGTTTTTTTTTTCTTCGCTCATAGCCTCCCCCACCTGCTCCGCCATACCATTAACATTATCAGGTGGGCAGCGCCGTGGCCCGTTCTGGATTCGCGGGATGGGGTTCACACAAGCACTAATACCTGTTTTTTTTCCTTTGTTTTTAAGACAAAGCTTTTCCCATAAAGGACTTCTCGGTCATTACATTCCGAAGGTGACCCATCTTTGCCCATCGGGGAGGTAAAGATTGTAACTGTCGATTACCTGACACGGGATCTTGGGGTTTCCTTTAAAGGAGAAAAGAAGAGAGGAGAGATAGATACACAGACAAGGGAAATAAAGTTAGGTTGGGTATTACACGGCATCTTGCAGCGCAGCTTGCATCTTTGGGGTTTGGGTTAAGCCGTTGGTGATAGCTATGACATGATGATGGGTGACGGCGACGGATGGTTAAGCAGGCTGTAGTACAAGACATGCATTATTCCCGTATCCATTGGGTCCTGCATACTTCATATGTGCTAAATAAAGCCCTTAACTAACGTTAGGTAGGTAGTCGACATCTCGTATGCGCCGTCATCGCGTCTTCTAGGAGAGGTTGGGAAACTACTAACTAGTTCTATGAGAGAAAAAAAGTTAGATCACGAGTTCGTAGCAGTTAGAAAAAAGATGGCATGTAGCTACCTGGTAGGCATGTGCAGGTCAGAAAGTTCTGAGTTGGCTGGGGATGTGGTGTGGTGGGATAGAGTCATGATTGGTCCGGAATACGTATACTTTCTTAGTCTCGTTCCTTGCATGTGTAAAAGTCTGGCCTTGACATGTAAAGTCTCATAGCTATAATGGTGTCAACACCTTAGACCGCCCGCTATCGGCAGGAGAGAGAGAGAATTAAGAAAATATTTTCTGAGGGAGCCAAGACGGTTATGCGCCCTACGATATACCAGTCGCGATTGGAAATCCAGTAAGGTCGATTGTGAAACTTGGTGTGCTGAAAAAATCAAGATATGGTCGTATCGTTAAAGTCTCGTTTCGCCAATCACAAGCCAAGGACTCCTGTTATACTGAAACGTCTAAGTATCGGGCTGAGCCCAACTTCAGATGAAACGAATAGAGAACTAGTATTTAGAAGAATATACCATGTTACAGATAAGCTATATCACTTTCACACACCGAAGTCATTGAAGGAGAAAAAAAAGAGCTTAGGAGTAGAATCAAGAAGAGTTGTGACGTAGTATCATTTATCTAGGAGCCATTGTAAGCGCTACGATAGCGTCAATAGACTTATGCTAATCCTCTCAAGTAGCTTGTTGCTATCAAATTTCCTTCCCACCTATCCCTTATACTGCGTGGCTCGTGAATAAGTATGTATCCCAAGGTATCGAAATCAACTCTCTCCCATTAACCCCTAATGTCAAACTTAATGCACCTGGAAAGTTGTGGTGATAATGCGCTTCCCAAAACCTAACTCCATCTTATATTGTTCCTAGAACGCCTCCCACTAGTATGCCTCCGATAGTAATGAAATTAATAAGAAAAATATATAATGATAAAAGAGTGTGAGTTGTTCACGGCTTGCTGAGCCGTAAGCTCCGCCGCCGATTCATATGGAGACCGCTTAATATGCCTCTCTTGAAAGTAGGGCTCGGGCTCGGAGGCAGCGACGACGGAGGTAGCTTAGTGAGTAATCGTGGTTGTGATTCCCTCCGCGCCGACATCATGATATCGTTGTAGGTCACGGGGGTCTGATGCCACGTGGTACGAGCAGACAACGGTTCCGGTTTGCTGGCATGCTGGTCCTCGCCGGCTGTGCGTAACGTATTTAATGCAAGTTGAAGATCCGTAGTTGAGCTTGATATAGATCTCAAGCTGAGGATACTGTCTCTGGAGGCGGCCTCTTTAAGGTTGGGACGGCTGCGCTTCCTAACTAAGTTCATCGACCTTTGTAGACGATGGAATGGGGTCTTGGCTCGAGGGCTAGAGTCAGTTGAAACTGGGTCCTTCAACGCCGGTTCAAGCTTGTAGTTGCTATTGGCGAAGGGGTCCTGGCTGAGGAACGAGGGGTTCTCCCTAGGCATCTCCATGGAGGATGTGAAGCTGGTTTTCCGTAACGGGTGACTAGGTGGACTTTCAAACGAGGTTGTGCGGATAGAAGGAGAGGAGGATCTCGTTCGAGGTCTCCGCATAGGTGACACCGATCTTCGACAGCACGTTAGGTCCACCACCAAAGGCTTTCCGACATATATCACCGACACGGCCCTCGCGGTGTCCTCCTGACTCTTGCGTCGCCTTGGGAACTTCTCAGATCGGTCACTGTTAGATTCGTACTCGTAGTCAGAGAAGTCGTCTGCGGACGAAGAGGCATCCTCTTCGGAGGAAAGGTAGGCATCGTGCGGGTCGGCGATGGGTTCGGTCGAAATACGCTGCAGGGTGTTCAGAAGTCTCGTCGTCCTAAGTATACTCTTCTCCGGCAATTTAGGGGGCGCAATGGTAACCTCCCGAGCATCCAAAACTGTAGCCTCTTCGATAATGCATGCATCGTCCATATCGGTGAACACGTCGGCCAGGTCTTCCTCGCAGGTCGAATATGAAGCGAAGCTATTTCTCGACTGCTCTCGTGCTTCCTTAGATATCCTGGAAGCCACTGACATACGACCATCGTCCATCCCACTCGAAGGGTATGACTGTTCTACAGACATGATGGTAGCCTTTTTTCTTAAAAAAAAAGGAAAAAAAAAAGGAAAAAAAGATGTGGAATACGAGTTATGTGATATGGGTCCCCGGCGGTGAAGCCCTTAGGCGTTATATAGTATATATAAGTGATTCGAAGGCAAGAGAGTAAAAGGTAAAACTGAACCTGTCGATCCGTAAAGAATGTAAGCTGAGGCCGGCTCTTTTTCTTAAAAGGCAGTTAAAGAAAGAGCCTCGTGGGGTTCAATTTTTGTTTTGCGATGTGGACATGCGGATATTTCATATTGAAGGAAGACGACCTCAGTTGGGCAGTGGGCGGTATAGATATTCTTCCCATCAACAGCGTTTTTTCGTGTGTAAGTGGAAGGGTGGGGAGAATGTAGCTACGTACCTTGCACGACAGGGGGGCCTGGGGACAGAGGACAAGGGGTAGGGGTGGCTTTTTGTTCCCCTGAACCTGGAAAGCTGGAACACTGGAACGCAAGTCTTAGCGGGTGTTGTAACTCTCGAGACTTCAGACCCTGGACAGGGTTGAGGGGGGCCATGAATGGGTAGGTGCGTAACTAGGACTGGCTAGTCCATCCTTTTCTCATCAAGAAGAAACCGTCCAAAATAAAAATGTGCAGAGGATGTAACTAGTAGTACAGTAATATCGAAGAAATACGTGATAGTCAATCCTAAATAAGAACATGGAGAGGCTCGACTTGAGAAGAAAGTCTACTTGGCAGACTATCTCGGGTGTCGTCTTAATCTCAACGGCCCAAAATGTGTTGTTTCAAAGTTGTACATGGGAATTGAAGGTAGCGGCGTGTGCTTCGAACAGGGCAATGGGCGGTGATAGAGCACTTACATGACTTGATAAACACTGTAAATGTAAACGTAAACGTAAATGTGAGTTGCACAAGGTCGACAATGTTAGGCCTCGCTCGTTTCGTACAGACGACGGGTATTCAAGTCTAATATATCTCATATACGAAATATATAAAATATATGAAATAGGTATATGAAATTGAATATAAAAAAAAAGTAAAATTCTCTTGAAGCAAATCAAACAAATCAATGGAACCTACTTAACGTTAGCAAACTTGTGGGGGAGAAGAACGGTTCATGAAATACATACAGTTCGTACTAATATACTAATAATTGGAGGGCTGGTCCGAAAAGCAATTCGGATAACCGATGTCATAGCCACCGCACAGCACCCTTTCTTCAAAGTTCAAATGGTGGTATCTTGTTGCTATTTTTTTTTTTCGGTGCGTTTGCCAACATTTTACTTAAATGATATATGATTAGCTTCGTCCCTCCCTTCAAGCCATGATGCCATGATGCCACAAAGTCATCCTATTTTCAGACGCCAAATAGCCCTGGGAGATTTACCTTACATAGTATGTAAGGATGCAAATGAACATTCGAGATGACAACTTTCGAATAGCGGCAGGGCGAACATAAAAACTAACATTGTCTTGTGGAGTCTGCCAGCGGGATCTGTAAAAATACTTCCCATTCGAGGACGTGATCGCCCAAGGGTCTAGACGTTAGGATTGGGGTTAGGCAGGTTGTTCGAGGTAAAAAATCTCCATCATTTCGTATCCACCAAGTAAAGTCGGTGATAGAAAGGATTGGGGCCCTAGGAAGACCCGTCCATCGAAAATCCTCCATGACGAGAGACTTCGAAGCCCGTAAGCTACGAAGTGATTATCAATACCTCATAGTAGATGGAGGCTTACAAGTTACAACACAGTTAATAGGCGTTAGGCTGACTTGTACAATACTGAAAAGATAAACGGCATCGACATCGACATGGCACGTGCGGATACATTGGATCGAGACCCATGAAGTTCAGTTGATCAACCGATTCCAACGGAGGTTAGTCTTTGCGACATTCTCGCATAACACAAATTGGCGGTGCGCAAATCTTGTATTACATCGTGCCATACTATGTATTATTCAAGAAGAATTCAGGGCTTGCAATGCATTAGGTACAATACTAAGTAGAAATAATGGTGCAATTAGCAGCTTGCTCAACTAAATAATTCAAACTAAACTCCGTGTCGTTAGACCCCGTACTAGGTATGTAGACCCCAAACCGGTACAACACAATACCTCTTACCTAAGGTAAGGCAGTCACTGCGGCCGGTTGCGTGCGACGTGTTCTGCGTGTACTATGTAGGTACTGCGCGTACAGCATGTCTAAGTCGCCTATCATTAGCTCGCCCGCCGGGACCCGGAAGACCCGTTTCTTTTATTATCCGTACAGCTCTCTCCTTACATGTACCTGATAGATACCTGCACTTGCCTTACCTTGCCTTAGATAAAAAAAATTAAAAAATAGCAACCCCGAGATAAATCAAGACATGTTCAAGTAAAAAACTCCTCAACTCTACATAAAATTAATAACAGCGTAGTAGCGGCCGTTTGCATACAGCAACACGAATTGCAAGTGGCTAGCTGTACCTTTAAAAACTACCTCTTCACCGACCACTAGCAATGATCTACATTCCCACCGACTACCGCCGAGACTTTTGCGACGATTTATCCTTTAATATGGCAGGTACAGTACCTTTTTACGGCAGGCCGAACAAGGATAAATCTGTAAAATGCATCTTCTATTCGGCTTCTTTATTTCGTACTTGATCTGTCTTCTAAAGCAACCCGAAATCGATTAATTCGATATGCAAGTCTTCAGGAGAAGGGAGATCGAGATGTTTTGAAGCGTCATGTGAGAAACGAAAGAGGGGCGATGCGGAAACCGAAGCTACCAACTATATCTCGAGGGTGCAACCCGCACTAGAAAAGGTTGCAACGCTTATGGCCGTCGTGCCGGAGTGATTGGTTCATCGTCAACACTCGGCCGCTTGGGTATCATTGAAGTTCTACAACGTCTGGCCACTTAGACCGTTAGCCTTCTCAACTAATTCAACACACCCTTTCACGTCATTGCTAGCGTCAGGCTTCATTCGCAAATCATACTGGTGCATCTCTTCGGTCGTCCCGTCAGATACCCCCCCTAATATATTCCGAAAATTTTGATTATCCTGTTATTGAATGCCGGGAGACATCTCAACCACTTCTTTTTTTTACAGCAGGAACTCGTCATCAGCTATCATCTGTCATGTATTATGCATTCCTTCCATACAATGCGATCGAATCCTTTACTCCGGGTCTGTACTCAACTCTACTCGATTGGGCGATGGACTGGTGATCAGAATTACAACTGTTCAATGGCACTTACAAAAAGGACCTCTCCAGTTCACTATCTCGAATAATGGACCGAATACTTTATTACCCCTTAAATTCATGAAACGGTGTAACTCGAGTTCACCACTTAGAAGCGACGATATCCTTCGTTCCGACACGTTTTCAATCGCGGATAACTCGTGGCAAAACACTTTTTGACATCTGAAATGCTTCATGAGTACCCGTGTATTTTTTTTTCTTCGTCTAACATCGAATGCATTAAAGGTTGTAGGGCATGTTACTCGCTCTGCCGATGGCCCGGTTCCAAGAAGACACACTTCGCCAAATAATAGCCTGAATCATACATCTGCTTCAATTCATCAAATTCATCAAGAGTCTCGCTTGCGCGTCATATTCCGTTCAAGCGGGGGACATTACTTATCGGGACCTGCTTTCGACTATTTCGCCACAAGATCTTCCCTTGCCTTGATACGGAGCGTATGCATTCAGCCATGGTAGCCCATCCTCTGGTAAGGGTTCCCCGTACCAAGACTTACTGGTTTCTAAGAATACGTCCCATGAGAGTCGGGTGTCTTGTAACTTGTTGTAATTCTCGTACCTACACCAAGAGAGTAGGTATATATGTACCTACATGAGGTACGTACTTCTAGACATGATCTACGTTTCGACAGTTATGGCGTCACATCTATCACATCCGCATCTGAAACAGCCAATAGCGTCGGGAAGAGACGTTGCTCTCTTGCCTAGTTCGGCTAAGCGAATCTTAGCCTAGCTTTGATCCCCACAACCTTAATCCTAATCGCGTTTCTAAAAATGCATGATACCTTCACTCATACATTCTTTCGATATTCTTCCCATCTAGACAAGATTACCGAGAATATCGGTTGACTTTCATCTAACAATCATAGGAACGATCCTCGAAATAGGCGATTCCTCTGCAGCTCGATATCTACGACTCAAGTTTCTGTAGATCTCGTAGATCCAGCTTACTACCTACAGCGCGTTGGCGTCTTTCAAGACACACCCCCAGCCACATAATCCATGGAAAATGACATTGAAGTTTATTACGGCACCTTCGGAAATCGGGTTTGGATTATTTGTGAGACAACTTGCTTATGCTATCTCACTCGGCTGCTCCGGACACTTAGATAAAGGACTTCGTCCCGGTCAACGTGAGAACTGAATGCTGAACGGGCTTCCTGAATGTCGATTACACTCCGAGACAGCCTCTTCGTATTCCCCGGTAGCCTTATAGACAACTCCGACCGAGCTAAGAGCGAGACTATCGTCGTAAAACATTACCTCAGAGTAGCACATGGCATTTGTCCCCTTGCATACTCAAAGTCTGACTTCTATTTGCTATGATAAAGTTATAGTCCTACCGCCAAGCTGAGCTACTTAGTTTTATCTGCTTCCTTCTAGAAATGCACATTCTAATTCAAGGCGCAGTTCCGTTTCCAAAGTCCCGAGGTGTGATTGAACAGCACTCTCTATATTCAATCAAGGTACCTAACCTTGGCCTACGAAGTTGCTTACTACACTATCCGAATGGAGCCAGCGTCTATCGTGTCAGAATAGGCTATCCGAAGTCGTCAGAGTGGTCATGTGCAGTAGTTGATTGCTTAATTCATAATTCAGTTTTCAGCCGCTGTCGATCACCAGAAGTTGAGACTCATTACAGATGACCGCTAGGCCAAGATGTCTCGAGCAAGACAACAATCTAACGCTATTATTATATTGAGATGAGCACGTTTAGACTTATCCAGTCGGTAATTATGGAGGTAAGGGGATTCGTGGGGTCGGAATATGCAGCCGAGAGACGCATTTTACATACATTAACAAAGGTTATTTGACTTGTATGGCGACGACCAGCATCACGACGAGCATTATACATTCGAGGTCTCCCTCCAATATACTAACATTTATTGCCCCAGCTTGCCAAATCGGTGACCAAACTACCGGTACATAGGATCTAAGCTTATTGGTTTGGGGCGCTT